TCTAACACCCCACGACTCTACCATGCGCTCAGCTGCCTTGTGCCACGGCCCACCATCGCCACACGCCCTCACACTCCCACACACACTCGTATTTCGTTTTGAGAAATTTTGGAAATGTATTGTGCGTCAACAGAAGCGAGCCAAGAGAAGTAAACAGTAGTGAATTTCAGAGCACTTCACCAAAGAATTGAGCCAAGAGAAGCAAACGGGAGTGAATTTCAGAGCACTAGTGAGCTGAGAGAAGCAAACGGGAGTGAATTTCAGAGCACTTAACCTAAGAAGTGAGCCAAGAGAAGCAAACGGGAGTGAATTTCAGCACTTAACCAAAGAAGTGAGCCGAGAGAAGCAAACGGGAGTGAATTTCAGTGCACTCAACCAGAGTGGCTGTGGCTGAACGGCGTAGATTCTCCTCCGACCCAACTCTCTCGTCCATCACAATTCGTCGCCCGCCAGTCGGCGTGCTTCGTTGCTCACAGGTCGCTCGTTCGCTCTGGGCGAGGCCTATCCCTCGCCATCCGTCCCTCGTTGTTCACTGCTCGGACGGGGAAACGAGGAGGCATGCAACAAAAACTGGAGCAAGCAAGAAGCTCGCACAGGAAGAAGAAGTGAGAGGTGTTGAGAGCAAACGAGCACATGGCAGCAAGGCATGGGAGGGGTTGGGAGGAGCGTGGGAGGCGAAGGGCGTGTGGCGATGGCAGGCCGTGGCAGTTTGGCAGCGAGCGAGCTTGCAAGGGGGGACTGGGGTAGAGGGGGACGCGGGCATGAGGATGAATGCATTCTAACCCCCCACGACTCTACCATGCGCTCAGCTGCCTTGTGCCATGGCCCACCATCGCCACACGCCCTCACACTCCCACACACACTCACACCTCTTACATTTTTTTTTGGAATTGTATCGCGCGCGAATAAAAGCGAGACAAGACAAACGGGAGTGGAGCTGAGAGCACTTGACCAGAAGCGGCTATGGCTGAACGCTCTGGCTGAACGGCATAGCTTCTCCTCCAACTCTCTCGTCCGTCGCCCGTCACTGAGGCATGTCGCTTGCAATTTGCCGCCGGCCGTTCGGCTTGCGTCGTTGCTCGCTGCTCGCTCATTCGCCGTGCGTTGTTGCTCGCAGGTCGCTCGGTCGATATGGCCGAGGCCCGTCACTCGCCATCCGTCACTCGTTGTTCGCTGCTCGGACAGGGGGAAAAGGAGGCATGCAACAAAAACTGGAGCAAGGAAGCAGAAGGCCCGCGAAGCGAAGAAAGTAGAGATGAGAGGCATTGAGAGCAAACGAGCACAAGGTAGCACGGCATGGGAGGGGTCGGGAGGAGCGTGGGAGGCGAAGGGTGTGTGGCGATGGCAGGCCAAGGCAGTTTGGCAGCGAGCGAGTTTGCAAGGGGGGACTGGGGTAGAGGGGGACGCGGTGCATTCTAACCCCCAACGACTCTACCTACATGCGCTCAGCTGCCTTGTGCCACGGCCCACCATCGCCACATGCCCTCACACTACCACGCACACTCCTAACCCACTCCTTTAAGATTGCGCATTAGCACAAGTGAATCAAAGAAATACCAGGAAATGGGAGTAAGTGCACTTATCCGAAATTAGCTGCGGGCGTCACGCTCTCGTCTGTCGCTCGTCACTGAGGCGAGTCGCTTGCCGTTCGTCGCCCGCAGTTCGGTGAGCGTCGTTGCTCGCTGGTCGCTCGGTCGCTATGGCGGACGTCTCTCGTTATCCGTCACTCGTCGTTCGTCTCTCGTCCTTAGCTGGTCGTCTTCCGTCGCTCGCCATCCGTCACTCATTGTTCGCAGCGTTCCGTCCGTCGCTCGTCGTGCGCTGCTCGTTGGCCGTCGATCGCCATCCCGACGCTCGTTCAACGAGCAGCGTCAGCGTTGCCCGAATCACCGACGCTGAGAGCTCATGTCGACGCCGAACGTTGAACGCGACGTCTCGCGTATGAACTACTTCTAATCATGAAAATTCTACCGTCGCTTCTCCCAGGTAACAGCGGACGTGGAGGTCTTCCTGCTTTCACCATCAGGGTCGTTACGTCTCAGAGTACGAAATACTGATCGCGTTTGTCGTGTCGCTTTTGCCGTCAAGAATAGCTCCTTACAAACACACCGTCGGACGACTCTCCTAATCGATCGTCACCGTCGTACACACCCCGTCACTCCTAATCGATCGTCACCGTCGTACACACCCCGTCAATGACAAGCCTAACTAACGTGCAGCTCTGTGGACGATCGATGACGCTGTCGCCACAGCCACTGCCATTGTTAAGTAGCAAAATAAGTTTCCGAGAGCTTAAGAAAAACGTCACCGCTGATAATAATAGCGATGAATAGTCAGGCACGGGAAACAAACTATCTGGCGGTTAACGGATGGTGAAGTCTTTTGGGTTCAGCTACACGAGAGGTGGCAAGCATTGTCGAGCCATGGGAACTCCTACCAACACGACACTGTGATGATCAATCCGCTGTTAACAACGTAGCGGTTCGTAGCGGTGGCTTCTAAAGATGAGGTACTTTATAAGCCATGGATTCAAGGACGCCATGAATATAAGAAGCTGTCATGGAAACGAGCAGAGCCTAGCCGGAATAAGATTCGGACATTCAGGGAAGAGCTGAAGGATAGTAGTATGCTGACTGAGGCAACTCCTAGGCAAGGAGGGCGACGAGGCTGGCTGGGGCGAGCGAACAACATGGATTGCCAAACAAGCGGAACCTCTGTTTGTCAGTTTCGCGAGGATGGATGTTGGCGAGAGGATATTGGTTCGCTATTCGAGGATCCTCTCTTGGCGAACGAACATTGTTTTCCGTTAGCAGAGTTACTGATACCGCCGAGTTTCAGCTGAGCGGGTTTGGCGTCTTTGCGCGGGAGCCGCCCAATTGAGTGGTTGAACCTGACAGCCGTGCCGGGAAATCCATTCACGTATCCCACACCCCACGATAAAATATAATCCAACGGTTCAATGTTCACCTCAAGCCAATGTGCGACTTCCAATGCACTGGAGCTTTGTTGCACCCTCGAAGCTCAAAGGTGCACATTATTGAATCGTGATGCTGGACGAATGTCCTTCTATTGAACGCAATCCACATTGCACACTTGTGGTTTGGTGCATGCGTGTCAATTCTCCTCCTTACTGGCTGTTTCGCGGCAGTGGAATGGAAGCATTTTTGAACAGTTTCGGCCGTCGGGCAGACCGTCGTTGAGGTCCACTTGCAGCGATCCCAATTGCCGCCAATCCGGGCTGCCAGCTCGGTCGGGAAGCATGTTGGAAAAAAGCACACCCCTGACCTGATCCAAAATACCGTGCTTGCAGGTGCAGCCACCGCCCACAGAAGCCAGCACAGCCCGCGATCAGCCATTCACTTCGGCTTTCCTCTTTGTGAATGTCCCAGAGAGTGTATTAGTGCGGTTGAAAATGTTTTTCCACGTTTGAAATCGGTGCTTGCCCTTCACCGCTTTTGAAAGCGGTACAGACGACCTACCACGTTATGGCCACGTTTGAAAGCGGTTGTTGCCCTTACTCTTGCTGGAAGCAGCTGGGCACTCTTGTAATTTGTTCTCTTGAACTCCCATGCGGCCGTTCATATTCGTAGGTAAAGCTCTGCGAATTCGTTCTGACTTGCACGAAGCAGAATAAGGTGCTTGTGATGGCAATCCAAGATTCTGCGTTGCTGCTTGGTTTGGAACGCCTCGTTCCAGCATTAGTTTTGTCATCAGACGGCAGAATTCAAGGGTGCACTCCTGCTTTTTGCGAAGTAATAGGCTTGGCGGAGGAGGAAATCGTAGGCAACAGTTTCTTAAACTTCGTACATAAAGATGAGAGGGGTTGCGTCCAGGTAAAACGCTCTTAGCAATATCAGTTTCTTTAGTCGAAATATCCCTTCTGATAAGGTTGTTTAGTGATGCAGAGTGCACTTGGCGTGGCGAAGGAGAGAACATGTATTGACCTGCGAATTTCTCGCGACTTAGCTGCCTGTTCGTCATGGTTTGAAGCGAAGCTGACAAGATGCGGATGTGACGGCGAGCCGTCACAGTTCGTTTGTACATTTCACGACATATCGCGATGGAGAAGATTCGAGGTTAGGAATTCGTTTTATACGAGCCTGTTATGACTCTTCTCTGCGCATTCTTACCGTAACCCTGTTCCTACGCCGCAGGGTATTGCTCAGAATGCTCTCGAAGAGTGTTTCGCTCTTGCTAGTTCAAGGTCGAATTCCTCCCAGGAGCGAGCGTCAGCAGCAAGTGACAAAGGTTTCCGGGAGCAAGTGTCCCAACTGAAACTGGCCCTTGAGGCGGGGTTGGAAAGCGAGAAGTTCAGGCGGATTTTTGAAATGTCCATGGTGAGTTGTTGCTTGTTTTTTTGTTTTTTTTTTTTTTTTGAACGACTTCAAACGAATTCATCATCCCATGGTGAGTTTTTGTTTTGGTTGGTCATGGCTCACTCTGCTAGACGCCAGAATATAAGGCCGTGGTTGTCATTTTCCTGAGCAGGACCCAATATTCTTGATAGGAGAAGACACAACGGTACACCAGTGTAATGAGGCTGCTCTTCGCATTCTGAAGCTCAACAACATGTCCGAGATCGTACAGAAGCTCACGGTGCCGATGGTGTCTCCAGAATTTCAGCCAGATGGCTCGAGGACACTAGAGAAGCTCCAGAAGTTTTGCCAGCCTTTGTTTGCTGGAGAAACTGTCACGGGAGAATGGTGGCACTACAATGCTGAGGGGACCCTCTTTCCAGTTCTTGTGAAAGTCCAGGTATATGCTTGTGCAGCATGATCACTTTCGCTGGTCTATTTTCTCCAGGCCTAACCGGGTTTGTTGTTTTATTTCTACAGAACATCGTTTCTGATGGGAAGAATTACACGGTCTGTGTCTGGCATGACCTGACTGAAATCAAGAGACGCGAGGCTGAGTTGGAGAAAGCGAAAGAGGCTGCAGAGGCTGCTAACCAAGCCAAGAGCCAGTTCCTTGCAAACATCAGCCATGAAATAAGGACACCTATGAATGGTTGGTGATTGTTCCTCCGCCTGAAATGCCCTTTCCCTTAGGAAGTCGACATTATTGCATCACTTATGATGGTTTATGTTGTGTGTGCTGCTAGGCGTGATTGGTGTTACTGAGCTGCTCCTAAGGACGGAATTGACAGAGGAACAGCGGTCATACCTGGAGGTGATTCTCTCGTCAGGCGAGAATCTTCTAAACATCATCTCTGATGTGCTCGACATCAGCAAAATTGAGGCTCGTTCCATTGTGCTGGAGTCCATACCTTTCAGCCTTAGAGAGACCATTGAAGACTCATTGTCCTCAGTTCGGGTGTTAGCACTGCAGAAGGACCTAGAGGTACGCCACATTGCCACCCTCCTTGTATTCTCTTCTCGACTGTGCTTACTCCTCTAAATGCTTGTTCTGCATTGTCAGCAGCTCAATGTTTTTGTCGAGGATGACCTTCCTTCCAAGGTCATTGGAGACCCTACCAGATTTCGCCAGGTTTTGCTCAACTTGCTTTCGAATGCAATCAAGTTCACTGAGAGGTAAGCTTGGGAAACGTTGCTTTACAGAGATTCTGCTTTTCCTTGTTCCGAAATTGACTTCCACCAGTCAACAGTGGCAGAATTGAGATTCGAGCTGTTATCAAGGACCCCAAAGACTCGCTGGCCGCCAATCCCCGTCTATCGCCATGCACTTCATCATGTCAGTGTTGAGCGTGTGAACCTAGAGGCATGGTTTTTATTGTACAGTGCATTTTGCCTCAACTGATGTTTTTGTGACAATGACAGGGGTTGAGGGAAAGGAGGCTGGAAAGCGGATCAGGGTTTTGACAGATGCTGAGGATCCGACAGGGAAAAGCAACTTTGATTCCTTGAGCACTCTCATTCAGTTCGAGGTGTCTGACACCGGAATTGGAATATCTGAGGACATGATTCCTAAGCTTTTTCAAGCTTTCACACAGGTAGGTGCACTATATAATGGCTGGGCTCTGGCAGTTTATAGTTGTCTGTTCAAACAATGGTTTTTAATAACATATCCGGTTTCTTTTACAGGCAGATGAGTCAACCTCAAGGAAGTACGGAGGCACGGGACTGGGACTGGCCATCTGCCAGTCCCTTGTGACCCTCATGGGCGGTAAAATATCTATCTCATCCACACTCGGTCAAGGTTCAACTTTCTCCTTCACTCTGCCATTTCGAGTACCAGAGACAGCTTCAGGCCCACCACCAGAGACTTCTCCTGAGATGTCCATTTCAGGAAGGAACAATCCTGTCCCTGGACTGCCAGCAGCATCAGTGCACCTTCCTCCCCTGCATGTCTCATTACCCCATTCAACCTCCCTGGAGACCCCTTCTCCATTGGTAGAGCTGCGCTCGTTTGCGGGGCTGAGGTGTCTGGTGGTGGAGGACAATCCGGTGAACCGAATGGTGGTGGTGAGGCTGCTGGGCAGCCTGCAGGTCACCTGTGACGTGGCAGAGGATGGGGTCAAGGCTGTGGAAGCATGCCAGGCAAAGGAGTATGACGTCATCTTCATGGTGAGCCGCCAGCTGGTCTATATTTGGAGAGATGGGAGGTCAAGGGGAGGGGGAGGGGAAGGGGGAGAATGGGGGTAGTGATGGCTTGATTTGTCGTCAATTAGCCATGCAGAGGGAGGGGTGGCTTGAGGTTGAAAGAGGCTGACGTTGTTGCTTCCATTATGTTACTGTCGCCTTTGAAATCCACTGCAGGATGTACATATGCCAAAGATGGATGGGTTTGAGGCTACTCAACGAATCCGTCAGCTCAAGCACGATCCAGTGAACAGAATCTGCCCTGAGTGCTGGAAGGGAAATGATTTTCAAATGACCTGTTTTTTCAAGCCATACCATTCCCTGAGCCGGCCCGTAATCGTGGCACTGACAGCAAGTGCCCTCCAACATGATCGGGACCAATGCGGGCAGGCTGGAATGGATGCCTTCTTGACCAAGCCAGTTAGGTTACAGCATCTTGTGAGTGTGCTTGAACCTTGTAGTTTGTTGCAAGGTGGTTGTGAAGATCATGCTGCTGAGCAGGATGACATGTAGTGAGCAAAGTGTAAATAATAGCTCTATAAACCTCAGACTTCACTTCACTGTTCGTTCCAGTTTGGATTGCCTGGCGCTTCAGAACGAGGGGAGGGGAAGCATCAGAGAAATCAAGGGTTCACAGCAAAGTCGTGCGCCACCTGAAGTTGGCCTGATTGGCACAACTTGGCCTGGTTGGCATAACCACAGAAGGATGCTCCACTGAGCCACGTGTGCAGCAATCAACGGCGCATATTTACCTGCTCCAAACTCCCTTCCCTCCATTCTCAACCACGAGCTTCTCTCCACAGTGATCGCCATGGCTGGTGCTTGTCGTTCTTGAACAGGGCATGGTTGTGTATCAGATTTAGCGGTGATAAGGCAGAGCAAGCAGCAAGGCATGGAATCCCCAGGCAGCATAAAATCGAAGGATTGTCATATCACTCGCAATGAAGGTCATTCGAGCAAGAATCGAGCAACTCCTAGCCTACAGTTTTCGAACATCGACGAAACAAGGCCGTCATTCGAGGCGAAGCATTCCGCTGTACCGACAGAGTTTATGACCCGTTGCGTTACAGATTGGCCCCTCTCTGTGATTTGATGCTGGCCCTTCGACCTTTTCACCCTGCGAATCCTTGACTGCTTGGTAAAAAAGTGGTCTCATTGTTCACTCCGCAATCCTTGACTTGCCCGTTCCATAGCATGGCTTTGCGTTTCTCACAGCAGCCGGCGCTTTCAGATGTAGCCTGCGTCGCCCTAATTTCTACTCACGGCGAGCTAACGGAGTGCAGGTGTGCTGCTGAAAGTTCCGGTATTTCGCAACGGTGCATCATCATTGCTCCTCAAGGATTATCGTTTCTTGTATTTCGTTCCTGCAGTTCGGCGTTTTGTGAAGCGCTTGGTTATGACCAGGGTGACATCGTCCATCGTCCGTTCGAAGAGATCATAGATTACAACTACAGAAGCCGTTTTCAGGCACGTACAATCATCTCCGAATGTCTCTGCGCTGTGTCATCTACGGAGTAACCAATAGGCGTCGGTTGGATTGTGTCAGTAAACTTTCTTCACCTATTTACTAGCGTGTTGCCTTCCTGTAACAATCCACTTCCCACAGAGTGCACTGAAGAAGGCTCTCCAGAAATCAGCGTTCGAGCTTCGCCTGAGATGTCACAATGGCAGCACAGCATGGTTCGATGTCTCCATGAAACCTGTTCTAGCAGATTCCGCCAGTGGGCCAACATCGTTGTATTGTTGCCTGTTCCATGATATCTCCACGCGAAAAAAATCTGAAGTATGTAGCGACGAAACCACTGCCTCTCTTAGTTGGCAAACTGGGTGTATTATCAGAATCAGTCTTTTTTTTTTTTTTTTTAAGAAGCACACGTGATGCACCGTGAGGTGAGCTGCTCTGATCGATTTCCTCCTCGGCCTTACGAGTCTGTCCAAATCTGCTGTAACTGTTACAGGAGCGGCTATTGGAAGGGCTCGGAAGGTGCTTTAAGCTATGTGGAGCATCTTTCGGAGAATTTGACCCCCCGTCATTGTATGAAGACCCAGAGACCTTTCTCCACCGGCTGAAGCTGGTTGAAGATACATTTCAAACAGGGCAGGAGAATGAGAAGTTCAGACGAATATTTGAAATGTCCATGGTAAGGGCCACGAGAATGTCTGCTATGGCACAGATATCGACTCTCAAGCCTGAATGCAGCGTTACGTTGGGGTTACGCCGCATGTTGGTTCCTGGAGGCTGGAACTGACAATTCTCACCAGAATTGCGATGCCTCAGTCCGCCTCAATATGTTGCATGAAATCTCCCTTCGTGTCTCATTCCCTCAACCTGCTTGTCCCCAGGATCCGGTTTTCATAGTTTCTGACGACATGGTCATTCAGGACTGCAACGAAGCAGCCGTGAAGATCCTGAAGTTCAAGGACAAATCCGAGATAGCGGGCAAGGTGGACGTTGCCAGCCTGACGCCCGAGTTCCAGCCAGATGGGACGAGATCTGCCGACAAGCTGGCTCAGTTCAGCCGCCCGGTGCTCTCAGGAGGAGGCTCTGCCATCGGCGAGTGGTGGCACTATGCGTCGGATAAAACCCTCATTCCCGTCCTTGTGAAAGTTCAGGTGTGTTGGTGTTTTCATGGTGTGTTGTGGTCTGGGGCGTGGTAGTACCTGAAAGGTGCTTATGCAGGACCTCTTTTTCATGTCGTTCAGTGTGCCCACTGCAGCTTGCCTCCTCTTTCCCCCCTTTCTTTCCCCCACTCCCTTTTCCCTCCCTGTCCTCCGCTCTCCCAAGATTTCAGCATGTGCTAGTCACTTTGTATCAGTAAGGCACTCTCACTGGGCACGGGACAATGCGGAGCTTCTTATTGCACTGCAACCACCCACAACCCTCCGCATCCCTCCCTCCCGGCACTCTCCCCTCTCCCCACCCGTCCCCACCTTTTCTCCCCCCTCTCGCTCACTCTCACCCCACCCCACACGTGCCAGTGCGTGCAAGCCAACGGGCGCAGTCACTTTGTGACCGTCTGGCACGACCTCACAGACATAAAACAACACGAGCAGGCGCTGCACACGGCGCGCGACAACGCGGAGCGAGCCAACGCGTCCAAGAGCGAGTTCCTCGCCAAAATCAGCCACGAGATCCGCACCCCCATGAACGGCGTGATTGGAGTCGCCGACCTGCTGTTACAAACCCAGCTGAGCGCCGAGCAGCGGTCGCTCCTCGAGGTGATCCGCATGTCAGGGGACTCACTGCTGAGGACTTGGAGATTGTATCTGACGTGCTGGATAGTATCATACTAGCAAGATGGAGGCTCAGTCAATGCAGGTGCTTGTTTGTTGTCAATGCAGGTGATCCTCACGTCGGGGGACTCTCTGCTGAAGGATTATCTCAGACGTGCTGGATATTAGCAAGATGGAGGCGCACTCGCTGGAGCTGGAGACCGTGCCGTTCGACCTAAGGGGTGCGGTGGCCGAAGCAGAGTCGACGGTGCATGTGCTCGTGCTGCAAAAGGGCATTCAGGTTTGTGCTCGTCCACACGGCATTCTGCTCTTTGTTCCCCTCTCCCCCACGTCTCCCATCAATCTCTCCCATTTGCCCACTTTTGCATCCCTTTTTCTCCTGCTCATTCCCTCCTTCCCACCTTTCCGTGCTTTCTGTGTCCGCAATGATCCACCCCATCCCCTGCTGCATTTCATTCCTTTGCTGCACCAAAAGTCCCACCTGTTCCACCCTCACATGATTCTTTCTAGCACTTGCACCAGTCGATGTTTTCGTCCATCTCCCCCTCTTATCGTGCACGCGCCGCCTCCTATCTCGCTCCCTTACCATGCACACATCTCCTCCCATCTTCCCCTCTGCACCCATCTCTGCCCATGCACCAACATGGCATGCCGCTCTCCCTGCATTCAGCTTCTGTTGACGTGGTTCCAGCCCACAAAATCTGAATGTGCCATGCCGTGTGGTTGGGGGGAGGCTCAGCAGGGTGTGCCGAGTGGAATTCAGAGTGAGCTCAAATCCGTCCCATCTTCCCTCTCCCCATGCACGCATTTCCCGCCATCACCCTCCCTGCATTCAGCTTCTAATCAATGTGGATCCAGCAGTGCCCTCACTTGGGGTTGGGGACCTCAGCAGGCTGCACCAAGTGCTGCTCGAGTCAGCTGAAATTCCTTTCGTTTCTCGCTCTTCCCATGCCTCCCTCCCTGCGTTCAGCTTCTGGTGGATGTGGATCCAGCCGTGCCCTCACTTGTGGTTGGGGACCCCAGCTGGCTGCGCCAAGCGCAATTCAGAGTCAGCTCAAATCCGTCCCTACCCCCCTCTTCCCATGTACGCACCTCCTTCTGTCGCAGCTTCTGGTGGATGTGGATCCAGCCGTGCCCTCACTTGTGGTTGGGGACCCCAGCAGGCTGCGCCAAGTGCTGCTGAACCTCCTGTCCAACGCCATCAAGTTCACTTCCAGGTGAGCTCCTGACGTGTCGAGTCGAGGCATGCGTTTCCTCTGGGGCACATCCGGCAGGGTAGACAGAGTGGAGGACAGAACAGATGTGCATGTCGTTAATGGAAACATTTTCAGGTGTTTTTTGGCGTAGTCAAGTCCAGGTGCTTGCTGATACAGATTAACAATCCGTGTTCCCATTTCCTTGCAACAGGGGCCATGTGAGAGTGTGTGTAAGCCTGTCAACAGCAGCTGAAATTCTACCAGCGCCAGCGCAGCCAGATGCAGTGACAGCAGACCCACAAGCTGTGTCATCAGAACAAGGAGCAGCGCCAGCAGAGCCCGAAACTACGTCAGCGAAGCCTCATGCATCATCGCCAGAAACCAAAGCATCTCTTGCAAAGCCCAGCCGAAAGAGAGTGAGATGGGAAACGGGGGATGAGAGGGCCGGATTCGAGAATATTGAGAAGAGGGCAAGATTTGAGGACGGGGAGAAGGAGGGCGACAGGGCAGGATACGAAGTGGGAAAGAAGAGTGATTTCTTGCTGAGGCAGGCGTTGGGAAGGCTAGATGCCGCTAAGATGGCAGGAATGGGGACTGGCAGAGCTGGAAACGGGTTCCAAGAACTTGGCAATCCGCCGGATCAGAGAGAGAGAATCGGCCAGGCGCAAGTACCAAGTGAAGGAGCTTGTTGCGAGCATGTGTCTGCTGGGCCGTCAACCGGTGCAGATGTTTCAGGGGAGGCGCAGTCAGGTCCATCAGGGGCAGAGGCTGAGGCTGAGGCTGTTTCAAGGGACGAGCAACCAGGTCCAACAGGAGCAGCAGATGTGTTACGGGAGCAATCAGACCCATCAGCAGCAGCAGCAGCAGCAGCAGCACCACCACCACCACCACTAAACGAGAATGGCACTCTTGTGAACAAGATGCCTCTACCCCTAGAAAAGCCTCGGGCAGTGACAGTGCGCTTCGAGGTGACAGACACTGGGATCGGCATTCCACAGCAGATGCTGCCAAAGCTATTCCAGCCTTTCACACAGGTACGGTCCCACAGCTGATGGCCCTTAACTAGTTCAATGGTCTTCCACCCTTCTTGTTTGCTTTTCCAACTTCGCGTGTGTAACCACACCCATAGATTCTTGCTCCTTCCCTCCCTCCATGCAGGCGGACAAGTCCACCTCTAGGAGGTACGGAGGCACAGGGCTGGGTTTGGCCATCTGCAGATCTCTTGTGACGCTCATGGGAGGCACCATTTCCGCCTCCTCCCTCCCAGGCCACGGCTCCTGCTTCTCCTTCGCCCTGCCCTTCACTCTCCCCACTGAAACCTCAATGGAGTCGCCTGACGATGCCCACACAAGTGATGCGATGCACACTCGTGATTTTGCTAAGTGCACTGAGGCAGGCAGTGTTGGAGCTGCCGGTCGGTCGGGTGGGACGGGTGAGACCGGTGGGACGGCAGGAACGGCCGTGGGCGAAGTCAAAATACAGATGCCTTCTTCTCGTGACTCCCCTGTTCCTGTTAGCCATCCGTTAAGCCGGTTGCATCCGCCCACTTCCATTCCATTTAGTGGCAGCGGGGGATACACACTCTCACCTGCCAATTCGCCTGGGCTCTCCGGTCTGCCTTCATCTGCAGTTCCACCTGCCAATCCACCTGCTGTGTCCGCATTGATTCTGCCCGGAGTTGCACGGAGAAGCTCACATCCACCTTCACCATTGGCAGCACCATCAGCAGCGCCATCAGGAGCATCATTGGCAGCACTGCCTCATTCAGCCTCTTGGGAGTCCCCTTCTCTAGTGGCGGTGGCGGTGCACTCGTTTGCGGGGCTGAGGTGTCTGGTGGTGGAGGACAATCCGGTGAACCGAATGGTGGTGGTGAGGCTGCTGGGCAGCCTGCAGGTCACCTGTGATGTGGCAGAGGATGGGGTCAAGGCCGTGGCAGCATGCCAAGCCAAGGAGTATGACGTCATCTTCATGGTGAGATGTCGCTTGTTGTTTTCGTTTCTTGTGGCAGTTGAATGTCTTGTGGGATAATAGGGGTTGGCTTAGTTGTATCACTCCTCCCCGACCTCTCCCTTCTTTTGCTGTTGCCTAAAAAAAAACCTGCAGGATGTGCACATGCCCGAAATGGACGGGTTTGAGGCGACACAAAGGATTCGCGAGATTTCTGAAACAAACAGTGGCAGCACATCACCACCTGGGAGACAGTCAGAGCACGGTGCAGTTGTTAGCAGCAACAATTATTTCTTCAATCCTTCCAGGACGCTAAGCATACCGCTTATCATTGCTCTGACGGCAAGTGCGCTTAAACACGAGCGCGATAAGTGTGCAAGTATAGGAATGGACGCTTTTCTCACGAAGCCAGTCCGCCTTCAAGATTTAGAAGCTGTGCTGAGACCGTGCTTTTCATGTGCGAATGACTGCAGGGCATGCGAAAATAATACTTGAGGCCCTTTATTTAGAAGCTTGCATGGAGCAGCATGTTTCTGCTCACTAAAATATTTTATATTACTATGAAACATATAAGCGTGTAAGTTCCTAACATAATTTCCCAGTTGCCACGTTCCCACAAGAAATAAAACCATGTAGGTACTGTAGCATCATGTTTGGTGGTGGAGACGAGCCGCACGTTCAGCTTGGATGTGAGAGTCGCAGAAATCGTCGCTACAGTCGGGAGGGAGTGCCACATCTTGCCAAAACCTGCATCGCACGCCGTTCTGTATGGGCGAAATGAGCATTGCGAACCGTCCTGTCGCTGAGCGCGGTTCACATTGCTTAGCGAGCTCTGCACACCGTCGTTTAGAGTCGTTCCTCGTCGCGCAAGCGAATATGGAGGTGCCGACTTCTGACGAATCCCTTTCCCGCCCTTGGCTCCCGACTGCAGATTGTTGCTCAGATCAGAGCGCTTCGGCTGGAACCGTTTCTGAAAAGATTCGTCACTTCTTTGTGCCGCCGACTTGCAGGTGTGGCCAACTCTTCTTGGCCCTGTTCGACAGCGAGGGTACCCCGCCAGAAACGCTTTGAGGTGACCTCGTTGGTTGGGCGGGAAACGGTTTGCGACCCTCTGCGACGAGTCATAATTCCCGCCAGCGCGAACGACCCCCCTGCGATGTCCTTGGTTTCCCGCCCAGCTGCTAAAACATGGCGGGAATTTTAACGGGGTGGTTTGACACCACAGCGCGCAGTAACAGTGACTGTCGACTAATCATTACAGCCCATCCCTGGTAAAATTTCAGACCATTACCAGACCATTGCCAATGTTACTTTTCAAATAAGTGGCCACAATGCCAGACCAATGGGCTATTTAGGGATAGTCACGCCAAACAAAAGGTATAAACCAGTTGCACCAAAAATCCTTTCGACACACCTAACTAATGCTGGAACCGATCTGGAATACTCTATACATTTTCAGCACAAACATTTGGGTGGGGCTTTTGTTTTTACGTAGACCGTCGAACCCCCGGGCAGACCCCGCGGCTGGAAACAGTCCGCTTCAAAGGGCCGTTGAGGTGGAGCTTTTCGACCACCTCGGCCGTCTTCGGGTCGGCCAAAATGATTACACTGCCGGCGCTGTCCTACCACTTGCATTTTGTCGCGACGCTGAACCATTTGGGCGACAGAGCCAAACCAAATGGTTGCATCGTGGGGGCCCCAAAGTGCTATCGAACAGGGCCCTTATTTTACCCCTCGAGAAACAGCGCCTAGGTTTCGACATGTTAGAGCATTTCCTGGAGCATTTTCTCCATTTCACTGTGTGATGAGTCACTCGGGCAGTCTTCCGACGCAAGTTCTGTCGCTCCTGGATCGTGACTGGTGCAGTTCTGGACGTGAAGACAGGTTTCTCCTTTCGAATAAAGACCATCTTCGCTGCCTCTGATATCTGTAGGAGATTTACTGTATTACCAGGGCTGGCTTGTAGGACCAATACCAAGCCATCCATTGCTTTGATTCCCATCCTGCTTTTCATGTCCATGCCATCCTAGTCAACAAAATATTTTCTGACGGGGATGCCATTCCATTCCACCCTACCCACCACCGCATGATCCCCATCCATCCCATCCCATCCCTACGATATTGTTCACCTTCATTCCACTATGCTGATGCCACCACCAATCTCGTAGCACACATCCCATTTCCAGGAGCTCGCGTCGCATCGCAGCATGGGGGATGGGTGAATGAGAAGCAGCATGGCGATGCGACGCACATGGCAACATTTCCTGTCCGTTGGAAAGCCCAGGAGGATGTTCGCGTCAGCTTGGCTCACATGTTGAGTGGAGCCTTGGGAATGCCGTCAGCGTCAGCGTCCCCTTTTGGCTCCTCAATCGCCTCATTCAAGCTGGCACACTGCACAGCAGCCAATACTTCCTTGCTGCTGGCACATCTCACTGTACACTTCGCTTGTCTTCATGGTTCATTCTTGAGCTGAATTTCTTTGGTTTCGACCTCCTTTCATGTCCTTCATTGTCTGAAGGAGAGACTCTCTTCCGTTCAGGCCTCTCCTCGTCCCTTTCAACTAAATGTAGATTAATCGGCTCTCGCCGAGTAGCCTTACAAAGTTTAGAGTGTTAGAGAGCATCAGAGAAGTCACTGAAGATTTTTAGGTGATGAAAGGCAGGCTGGCTTTTGGGCAATCTATAACTTATTTGGAAAGAATAGTGAGTTTTCTCTCAGATCAATCCCTGAGAAAATAGAGAAAATAAAGGAAAGCTGACATTGGAAATACGATTTAGTGAATAACAGGAAGCCATTGTTAGTCTGATCACGATGGACGACTCGATCATCTTGGACCACGTCCTTTTGCAACTCAACACGACTAAGAGCAGGTCAGTGAGTCCGACCCTTCATATTTTTTTCTGTAGTACGCGTCGGAGATTTGTTCGCCGTGCAGTGGGAATTCGTTCACTTGATTACGACAGAGGTCGATACTGTGATCGAACGAAGCGAAGCCTAAATCTGCTCTTCCTTTTACCCTTTCCATGCGGATGAGCTAGTAGTTTGTTTAGATTGTCAAGATATTTTGCTATAATTGAAGCTTGTGCTTCGGTTTTCTTCATTACAATCATTGCCATTGTCATTGTCATTGATCCTGCTGTCTCCACATGCGATCCTGTCCCGACGCAGATGCGACGTCGTCGTATCTTGTAACGGAGAAGCTACTATCGTGTCCACCGGGCTAATCCGTCCCTTCGCGTCGCACATCAAGGCCGTAGACGACCAATTCAAGGGCGGCGCGCACCTAATTAAGCTCGACCCGCGCGAATGTCGCGAGTTTCTAGACCGGCAGCGGCTGAAGAACCCGCTAGCAGCAGCAGCAGCGGAGGATCAAGCCGAAGAGGACACGCTTCTCGGATGGTTCACCCTGAAAACCGTTGAGAGGTCAGCGTCTTCCCTCCCTCTTCCCCACTCTCTCTTTTCTCTGCCCGTTACCCCATTTCCTCTTTTCTCCTTCGAAACTCATTGTAGTCATCCGCGTCTTCGTCTCTGTACCATTCACAGGATGGTAACGTTCATGAAGTCGCCCGGGCCGCTGGATTACGCGGTGACGATCATACTTTTAGACACGCTAAAACAACTCGTTATGATTATCCCCGTCACTGTCTCTGTACCCTTCACAGGGTCGTAACGTTTGTGAAGTCGCCTGGATTGCTGGAGCACGCGGTGACGATCGAGGCGGAGCTGCAGAGCCTCGACGATACCATCCATGGCTCCGCTGCCTCTGAACCCTTTCAAGTACGCGGGTGTCTCTCCCGTTTTTTCACCCAGAACCCCGTCCATGCCACTTGAAAAATGTCCGAAACGCCACCATGTATGCTCGTGACGACACCTCTCGCGTGGCTAATTGATCGCTCGCCCCGTCGCACGTGACTGATTGATCGCTTGCGCCGCGCGCGGTTGACTGACAACCCTGTATCTCCGCAGTCGGAGCAGCAGCCGGACGGCAGCGACGGCAGAGCGGAAACCTCTCAACAATCGTCTCCTTACACGTGGTTATTTGACTACCCTCTGTATCTCCGCAGGTGGAGCAGCAGCCGGACGGCAGCGACGGCAGAGCGGAGGAGGGCCTGAGAGGGGCGACGCCGCTGAGGGACAGGCTCTCGGGGCGACGAGCGTCGTCTCGCTCGCCGTCTCCCGCCCGAAGCCTTGTGAGTGCTCCTGTCCGTCCCCCGCTTGCGTCCACGCCTAGTTGAAAACAATGCATGCAGGGCCACGTCTTGGCTTCCTGCTCCTCAGTTCCTTCGTTTCAGTACTTTGATTCTCAGTTCCTTCTTGCCGTCTCTCGTTAGAAACCTTTGATTCTCAGTTTCTTTTCAGTTCCGATCTCGAATCGGCCTTGCAAGCTGCTGCGCGCCGAATTCGCGTGCTCGTCATCATCAGCTTGCCGCTGATCTGATGATGTTTGAGACGTCTCAAGACTCGCGTGCCACTAACGAGACGGTTGTGTTCCCATGCTCTGCGTGCGTGATCGCGTGCGTGTGTGCGCTGCTGCAGAACGGATTCAAGACGGATGCATCCAGCGATAGCGGCGAGCGAGAGAGGTGAGATTGAGGTTGACACATCGTGATGCATGGCCTTCAGGGTATAGAGCCGTGACGCTACCTTGGTTCGTTCTTCTCAAAAACGAGTTGTGAAACGTCTCCTTTGTTTCCTTCGAGACGCCTCAAGAATTGGTCCGGTTTGCCCCCCTTGTTTCCCCGCAGTCATCTGCGCCGAGCCAAGGACGTGCGCGCAGCCATGCTCAAGCGCGAGCAAGGCGTGGCACCGACCCCTCGATCCGATTTCCCCTCAAGAGTGCTTCCGCTATCTCCCCCACCCCCCCTGTTTTCCCTCAGTCGCCTGCGCCAAGCCAAGGACGTGCGCGCGGCCATGCTCAAGCGCGAGCAGGGCGTGGCGATCGCGCGCGCAGCAGCGGCGGGATTCTCCCCGGACGTGCTGCCGCTGCTGCTCTGCTTCGCAGATTGTTTCGGAGCCGTCCGATTGAAGCACGCGTGCGTGAAGTTCTCCTCCCTCGTCCGCCGCCAAGACTCCGCCTACGCGGAAAGCCTCACCCGCGCGCAACTCGCGCAGTCCGCCGCGCAGCTCGGCGGTGGCGCAAGCGCGGGCGCTGCGCCGCAGCAGCAGCAGGCGTTTGGGCTGGCGGCAGGGAGAGGCGGCGGAATCTGGTTACCCGACGGCCACGTCTCCGGAAACACGGTTACAGGGACTCCCGGAGGCTATTACCCCTTCGTTCCGCTGTATAACGGGGCTATGCCCGGTGGTATCCCCGGCGCTATGGGCCCAGGGATATCTCCCCCTACCGGGAACCCTGTAACTTATGGCCTCGTCGGTCCCAATGGGGAGATTTACGCTGTTGCCGGCGGCAGCGGCGGCATGGGTGGAATGGGCGGCGGAATAGGCGCCACAATGGGTGGCGCAACTCTCGGCGGGACGGGGTCGGGTGGTTGGGGAAGTGCCCCTGGTTTTGCAGGGTATAATAGCCCGTTTTCCACGCCTGGGGTTTGGTCTGGGGAGGACCAATCAGAATGGAGCACGGACGATACTAACGGAAGGGGCGGGTACGGAACTGGGCCGGCTGCGTATCGCGGCGACTCGCCCGCGGCCGCTAGACGGCGCCGGCCGTTCAAGTCCAAGTCGGCTAGCCGGCTGATGCCGTGGCAGCAGCGGCCGTGGAGCGCGGCGGGGTTCGCGGCGGGAAATGCGGGGGCGTGGACGGATTTGTCGGATACGAGCAGTGCGGTGATTGGAAGGGACGATGTGACTGAACCGAGTGTGCTTTTTCCGGGAAGGAATTTGATAGAGGACAGCAGCGTCGCAAGCTCCGTCGCAGAGAACCAGCTCAGCTGCTCGGCGAGCCCGCTGCGACCGGTGAACAGTCGCGCGACGTCGCCCAGGTCGTCGTCGCCTATGTCGCGCGCGACGTCGCAGGAACTGAGGGATTTCGTCGCAGGGCTGCAGAGGAGAGGGGCGAAGGGGGAAGCGGGGGTCGGCGGAAGCGGCGCAGGGAGGGAGGCGGCAGGCGGGTTGGACTCAGCCGCCGCTGCTGTGGGGATGAAATCGGACGGCGGAGCGTTGATCCGGAGCGGGAGTCGCTACGGGAGTGCGTCGCATATCTCACCTATCATCCGCTCCCAGTCCGCATATCATGTGCGAGCGGAGAGCGGGGGAAGGGGCGCGGGGACAGGCGGAGGAACAGGGGGGGGAGCAGGGGGAGCAGGGGAGGCAGGGGGAGCAGGCGGGACAGGCGGCGTAGGGGAGCCAGTTGATATTTTAATGGTGACCGCCTCTACTCCCAAGAAGGGTTCTCCGTGGGCGGGCGCGGATGAGGGTCGGGATTATCTGGGGGAGGTGGAGCTCAGGGGAGGTACGACCGCCCTGAACGACCGTAGGTTGGTGCCTGGGGAACTCGAGATGGAGATCATGGCAGGGTGGGGGGGGGCGGAAGACGAGGGGGAGGAGGACGTGATGAAGGGGGAGGCGTTCCGCAACTCCCTGGAGGCTGGCGCGGGGACGGGCGGAGGGGGAGGCGGAGGGGCAGCCGGGGGAAGAGGTGCGGGGAGAGGAAGTGGGGGGGTGGCGGAGGTGAGGAGGACAGCAGGGGGGAGAGGTAGCGGTGGTGTAGCAGGAGCAGCAGGGGCAGCAGGAGCATCAAGGGAAAGAGCAGGAACAGGAGGAGCAGCAGGAGCAGCAGGGGCAGCAGGAGCATCAAGGGAAAGAGCAGGGAAGATTGTGGAGAATGACTATCCGGTTCTGATGAGGAACAAATCTCCCGTTCGAGGAGGAGGAACGGAAGCTAGTGTGGGGAGTGGGAAGGGGGGCGATGGACCGAGTCAGGAGTCCTTGCTTGTGACTTCTCTTGAGTGCTGGAAGTTCAGTGAATATGGAAAGGCGGCAGCAGGAGCGGCAGCGGGGAAGGCGGAACAAGGGGCAGCAAAGGGAGAAAAGGATCTGGATGCTGATTTCAGCTGGATGCAGGGAGGGAGCAGCAGAGATGAAGGGGGGTTGGGTGTGCAGCAGCAGCAGTGGCAGCAGCAGCAGCAACAAGAGAAGGAGCAGCTGCACCAGCAGAAACAGCAGCAGGAGCAGGAGAATGAACAGGTGGCTAGTAACAAGAACATGGTACAGAGAAGGATGTGGATTAAAGATGTCAAGTCTAACGAGCATGAAAATTTGCCTGGGATGAGTGCTGTTAAGTCTACGAATGCTGGAGCAGAGGAGCTTGTTCTCTTGCCTGCTGGGAACGCCCTTCAGCCAGTGATGCCCTCTGGAGGCAAGGGCGGGAAGAAAGGAGCAGAGCAGGCAGAGACAGGAGGAGAGCAGAACCAGGAGGAGTACTGGAAGGGGGAGAGGAGCCGAGTTGGGAAGGAGAATAAGTTGATGCAGCATTCCCCACTGACTCATTCGAGTTCGGCATCAGGAGTTCCTAATTATGCGCCAGGAGATGCGCAGTTGGAGCTAGATCTCAGGTCAGGTTCGTTTGGAGACAATGACCTTGGAGGATGGGGGTTGAAGTTTGCCCAATCCGCCTCGATCAAAGCAGCTCCCGGGGGTAGTAGCCCGGGCGGTGTTTGGAGTAGGAGTGTATTGGGTGAGAACAACGCGTATTCGGAATTGGGGTTGGAGGGGCCGTTTGGGGTTTTGGAGGAGGTTCCTGTGGAGACGAGGAGGGAGGCTACAGATGAGCAGGTGAAACTAAAGGATACAAGGAAGAAGCAGGAGAAGGAGTATATTGAAATGCTGAGAGCCAGGGATGCAGCACGGAAGGCGGCAGCTGTGGAGGATTCGCCTGTTGAAAAGAAGAGAGGTTCAAGCCTGATGAAGATGTTTGGATTCGGTTTTTGAATATATATACTAAAATAACTAATAGCCGCATATATACGTAGCGGCATAGTAGAAGTTCTGTTTTTGGAAGTAGTTTAATGAATACTGTCTAGAAATCGTTTCCTTAGGCATTAGCCGGCATCTAACGGAGTCCCATCTGGTCCGGACTGGAGTGCAATAGCACTCTTCCTGGTTTCTCATGCTCCGAACAAAATCTTGTAACGCGTACGTCGAACTCCCCCATTCATGGTCATACGGGGGTGGTAACTTGTCCCGCATTTGGTGTCTTCTCGCCTCCTGCACCACCCATGGACGCACAGATTCACTCGTGACTTGGAATTCCTGCCGTTGGGTTGTTTACGTTCGCTGGCACTCCCGTTGCGTACATTGCTTCGCCTATCTTCCGCTCGGCCAACGAGCTTGCCTTGTCCTGCATCCGCCACATCTAGCCCCCTGGGAGTACCATTAGCAGTATTGAGATCGTGCAGCCTGGTTAAAAAAGAGCATCTGAAGCTCGCTTGAGGCGAAATGCCGAAGAAGCTAGCTCCCAACACCAAGGCGGAGGAAGCGCGCGAGCGGAAGGAGGCGGCGGCGAACGACAAGAAGCGCGCGGCGGAGAAAGCTAAGGAGGACGCGCAATGGGCGGACAACGCTCCGAAAGGCCGCGGCGCGAAGAAAAAGGAGGAGGACGAGCAGAAGCGCGCGGAAGCCGCGGCGAAACGCGCTGAGAAGAAGCGGCTCGAGGAGATCGAAGCGCAAGAGATGGCCAAGATCTCGGGGAAAGGGATCTCCGTCGGTGGCGCGGGGCCAGGGGCTCGGCGCGCAGGCGCGGGGAGCAGCGGCGGGGGAGGCGCGAAAGTGACCCAGGCGGAGCTTGCGCTGATCAAGGAGCGCGAGCAGAAGGAGCTGGCGGGCGCGGACGCGGAGAGGCGGAAGAAGGCTGCGCGGGTGGCGGAAGAGGCGGAGTATGCTCGGATGCTGGAGGTGGAGAATACGAACCGCATGGCGGTGGCGGTAGATGCGCGGAACGTGGGGGAGGCGCTGAGTCAGCTGAGCGTGGCTAAAGGGGAGGAGGGGAGCATCGGTGTTGATAAGCACCCGGAGAAGAGAATGAAGGCCGCATTCAAGGTGAGAGGAGGATGAAGGTATTGGGGAAGTAGGGAGTAGCAGGGGAGGAGGGGAGCGGCAGTGTGGATAAGCACCCAGGGTGAGACGAGGAGGATGAAGGTGAGGGTGTAGCAGGGAGCAGCAGAGGTTGAGCAGCATAGGAGGAGCAGCGGTGTGGATAATAAGCACCCGGATAAGAGAATGAGGCCTCTTTCAAGGTGGGAGAGGTTGAGAAAGGGGGTTGAGATGAGGGTGAGGGGGGAGGGGTTGAGGAGAGGAGGAGATGGGGCTAATTGAAGGAAGGCTGAGATAAGGGTGGGTTCGAGGTGAGAGGGAGGAGGATGTCTGAAAAGTCTGTGGGGTGTTTCTTTTAAGGCATGTGCTAGTATGATACAGGGGGCTTGATGCTTAATGCTTGGTGCTAGATGCTAGATGCTCGATGCTCGATGCTCGAAGCATGATGCTTGATGCTTGATGCTGGTGCCTGATACAGCCTTCAGACAGCTGCAGCCTGATGTTTCCTCCTATCTAGCTCATCCTCAACTAGTTTCTGTGCATTCAAGGCTTCAAGCCCGTGTGTGATACTGTCCACCCTCTTCCATCTGACTGTTTCCTTCAAAATTCCTTCCTTCCATCCTTATCCTCTGTCCTTCCCTCCTCAGGCCTTTGAGGAGGCGGAGCTTCCGCGCATGAAGCAGGAGCGGCCTGGCTTGACCCTCACGCAGTACAAGGAGCAGATTTGGAAGGCGTGGAAGAAATCACCACAGAACCCCATGAATCAACAGTGATGATGCCTGGTAGTATGTAGTTTTTGCTTAGTATTGTGATCTCTCTTTTTGAGTTTGAACCCCAGTGTGATGCTATGGTAGTCTGGAACTGCTGTTTATTTAGGACTTCAGTGTGCTTAGATTCTAAGGCTCTACATACGGAGTGTTGTTATGTTCCTTCAGAAACTGCAATTCTTCGCTTTGCCCAAACTGCGGGCATCCTCGCTAGGGGATTTGGGCTGCAAATTGGACCGAAACAAACTCCCCTTCGGTTCGGAATTTGCATATTCACCGTTCAACACCCATACCTCTGCGTTTCCTCTGCTTCCTTCGGAAACCTCGAAATTCGCCTGCCCATCAACTCACAAGGGCTCACAAATCATGTTTGTCCATGAAGCCTGACAACCGTTTTGAAATCCGTGTAACCGTTGTGGACGTTTTGTAAACAAAACATCATCCTACTGAGCCCTGTTGTGGATACATGTGAAGCCTCTGCGCGCTTTTCCGGGCTTTTAGCGCCCTCCCTTGGGCCTGCCCGAGTCTCTCTGGGATGCTCGCCAGGCTGCCCGAACTTCTGGTATGCTTCCAACCCAAAGGCCCCCCTTCTCTCGCGATAATGGTTACCATCGATCCAAGACCAAGGCCCAGGGAATACCTTGGATGTTAGCTTCTTCGCTCACTTTATCTGCCATTGCCTGTCTTTTCATTTCCATCAATGCCGTTAGATTATGCCACCTGAGATTCCTTACTTTCAGGCATCGTCTCTAGCTTCTATCTCACTTTCTATTATCGTGGTGCGAGCATGGCGCTTCAATCCGTTCCTTTCACCGCCAAAAAGGTTGCGGCTTCAGACATGAGCTTTCTAGCCTCCCATTCTCGAACTTGGGGCGCCGATGGTTGCGGCGGGAGTACCGCAAGCGCGCAGTTCAGTAGTTGCCGCAGTGCAGCGGGCCCGGTCCGTGCTGATCCTTCGATCATTTGCACCGCGCAGCAGCAAAAGGTGCGTTGCAATTCTGCACTGCCATTTCGTTATTTGCTTCTTTTCCGTGTTTTGTTTTTGTTCGTTTCAACCTGGAACCATGGACTCCTCGACTCCTACATGTTGTCTTGAGTTATCTGTTTCGCTGCTGTTTTTTTTCTTCATCCATTTCGCAGGTTCCGTCGCAAGCTCGCACCGCACTTCCACATCGCACCTCCACCGGTCCAACCCCGCGAGAACGAGTTTCGAAACTCCACGCAACGACTTCAAAAACAGATAGCGTATCAGTGTCGATGCGCCTTCACCAGGTAGCACCGGGCGAGACCCTCTTCTCCATCGCCTCCAGTTACCACCTCCCCCTGGACGCGCTCCTCGCGGTAAACGACAAGCCGTCGCCCGCGGTGCGAGTGGGGGAGGTGATATTCCTGCCGGCCGCGGCGAAAATCGGCGACGTGACGAGTTTCGCGACAGGTCCAAGAGTTACCGCGAAAAGCGGTGACTTGGCAGGGTGGAATGGGGCGGAGGGAGGAGGTGATAACACGGCTGGAGGAAGGGTTGAAAGGGGGGATGTCGATTACGAGTCGCAGCAGCAGCAGCATGTAAGTCAGCCAAGTCAACCTGGCAGTCAACGTCTGAGTCATCTTAGTCAACCCAGTAATCAGCATCTTAGTCAAGAAGACACGGAAATCAAGGTATCGCAGGACTTTGCCCTGAAGTTTAGAGAGAAACCCGGGGGAAATTACCCCGGAAAATACTCGGCGGGTCCGAATGCCGGGCAGCAGCGATACGGGTCTGGGGCGGGGGAGGGCGGGAAGGCGAGAGGCGGAGGGGGAAGGGAGGGGGGGCTGTTTGGGGGGCGGAAGGAAAGCAGGGAGGGCGGCGGCGGAGGCAGCAAAGAGAGGCTGAGAAGTCATAGCTCTGGGAAGGGAGAGGAGGCGAGAAGAGGGAGGGTGGTTGCTGGTGGGGGCTTGCAGCGAATAGAGGTGTGCGAGGAGAGGGAGGTGGCTTCTGCTTTTGCTAGCGTGGGTGCTCCCAAGGTGAGGAAGTTTCCTGGAACTGGGCTGGCCGCTAGCCTGCTGCCTTGAGCGCTTGTTCTCTCGATGCTGCCTGTTTTGTGTTGCTTCCTTATCCCGTGACTCACATTCCCCCACACGGGTGTGATGAGACGATTTTTTAGTCGGCTCAAAAGTCGTCTTGATGCTGCCTGTTCTTCTTGCTCCTTCTCCTGTACCTCACACATTCACCCACACAGTCCTTACTCTCCTCTTCCTCACCCTCTCTATCCCTCTCTACCCCTTCCTATCCCTCTGTTGGCCCCTGCTCCCTCCCCCTCGCCAGATCCCGTTCCTTGACTGCACGCCTGCTGCCGCTGCTCGTTCCGGCCTCGCTGCCCCCTCTCACCGCCTCTCATTCAGACAGCAGCCGCAGCAGCGATTGCAACCGCAGCAGCCACAGCAGCTGCAACTGCAGAAGCCGCAGCTGCAGCCTCCTCGTGGGCAAGTGGGAGGGGGGTCAGTGGGGAACCAGCACAGGAGCACCTTTTTGGGCGGCTCTGCCCGACAGTTTACAGCCACGGTCGGGCAGCAACAGTTACAGCAACAGTTACTGCTGCCCGAGGGGAAACTTTTTGCTGGGGCGCAGCACGGTGGGAGGTGGGCGGTGGTGCTTGGCGTGGCTGTGGCCGTTGCTGCTGGAGGGGCGGCACTGGGCAACAGGGTTGGATCATTTGGGGGAGCAGCAGGCAGAGTATCAGGGGGAGCATTTGGGGGAGCAGCAGGCAGAGTATCAGGGGGAGCACTAGGGGGAGCACTAGGGGGAGCATTAGAAGGAGAATCAGGGGGAGCAGCAGGCGCAAGTGTACAGGGAGGGATAGGGGGAGGGGTAAGCGGGTGGATGGGGGGATTGTTTGGTGGTGAGGTTCATGATGCGAGCAAGAGGGGTAAGCAAGAGGGAGGTTCGAACAAGGACCTTGATTTCTCCAAGAGAGTTTTGAGGAATTATTTAAGCTCCAAGGCGGCTGCTACTGATGGCATGGCTGTCGTTGTAGCAGACTTGCCAGGGAGCAGCAGCGACACCAGCAGCGGCAGCAGCAATTCTTTATTCAGCAGCAGCAGCATCAGGGCAAGCGAACCCACAGAAACGTTGGCACAGAGCGAAGAACCTATTGCTGAGGCACCCGAGAGCATGGGATCCGCCACTGCTGCTTCTGCAGGAGGTGAGGACTTGGGGATTAATCGTATTGAGCTAGAGACAGACGAAAATCGGGAGAATATGAAAAATCCGGAAAATAGGTGTGTGCCAGGTCAAGGCAAAGGGCAGCTGTGGGTGGGAGAGGAGTTGGGAATCAGTGAGAGCAGAGAGCAGCCAACGCACAGGGGGCACGGAAGATGGGGGAAGGCTGGGAGTAACGAAGAGGGGAGCAGAGAGGAAGAGGGGAGTCAAGGAGAGGAGAGCAGGGAGGAGGGGAGCAGAGGGGAGGGGAGTAAAGACGATGGGAACAGCGAGGAGGAGAGCAGGGGGGAAGGAAGGAGCAGAGCGGGAGCGGGGGGCAGAGAGGGAGGGATCAGAGAGGAGGATGGGAACAGGGAGGATGGGATACGAGAGGAGGGGGGTATGGGGGAAGGGAATGGCAGGGCGGAGGTATGTGCGGAGGGGTTGCCTTTGGAGGAGGTGCGGAACTGGAGTGTGGAGGAGGCAATTGCAGCCAATGTGCAGGTTGCACGGAAGATGGGGCTGCAGCAGGCCTGAGAGGCCTGAAGAGGTGACTCTCTTGAGTTGACTTGAAGGGTATGTGCGGAGGGGATGCCTTGCCATTGGAGGAAGTGCAGAACTGGAGTGTGGAGGAGGCAATAGCAGCCAACGCACAGGGAGGGGCCTTTTGAGGCGCCTCGTAAAGGGCATGGAAGATGGGGCTGCAGCAGGCCTGAGGAGCTGACTCTTGTGGGGTTGACTCAAAGGGTGTCTGTGTGGAGGGGGTTGCATTGCAGCAGGGAGGGGGTACCAACTGGAGGAAGTGCGGAATGGAACTGGAGTGATGGAGGTGTGCATTGATCAACATTTCTGAGGTTGGTTGCCTGAATTAGGTAACTGCGCCTGAAATATACCATATATTTGGAAGATACTAGTGTACATTGTTGCCTATGTCTGCTTGGACAAACAGACCCATTCACTGTTTTGTTGCATGTGAGGATGAGTTGAAGCACTCATCCTCAGACTCACTCTCCGTAGTGTCACCATCACTATCAATATCACTATCACGAGACAAATACCCCTTCTTTTCTTGCACTATTTCCCCCCAAGGGCACACCACCACGGCCATCACCAGCAAAAGCCCCTGTGCGATCACCCCAGCCAGAGGATTCCCCTTATGCATGCCTGTGAGCCACACAGGGGTTCCCGGGCGGTAAGATATGATTCCGGAGAAAGATATGATTTGATTTACGGCGACGAGGCTGGTGTGGAGGCCAATGGGGAGGGAGAGGCTGGTGGTGCAGCGATGGCGGAGGAAGGAGAGGACGAGGGAGAGGAGGAAGAGGCCTGGCATGGCTGGGACAGACCTGGATGAGGGGAAGCGAGGAGAGGTTAAGGGATGAGTGTGGAAGACAGGAGGGAGGTGGGATGGGTGGGGCAGGCATGACAGGCAGTAGTGCAGAAGGGAGAGGATGAGGGAGAGGAGGAAAAGGCCTGGCATGGCTGGGATAGACCTGGTAAGGGGGGGAATGGGGGGACAGGGGAAGGGATGAGTAATGGAAGACAGGAAGGAGGTTGGATGGGTGGGGCAGGGATGACAGGCAGTGGGGGAGGAAGGAGAGGACGAGGGAGAGGATGAGGGAGAGGACGAGGGAGAGGATGAGGGAGAGGATGAGGGAGAGGAGGAAGAGACCGAGCATGGCCGGGATAGACCTGGTAAGGGGGAGAGGGGAAAGGGGGAAGGGGTGTGTATGAGAGACAGGAGGGAGGTGGACGAGGTGGGGCAGGTGCTGTAGCAGGGAGGGGAGGGGAAGGGAAGGGATGCGTGGTGTGAAAGACACGAGAGAGGTGGGATGGGTGCAATTGGTTGGTGCTGCAGCAGTGGGAATGGCCCAGATGGAGTGAGCCCTGATTCACCTCAGCCCATTGTCGAGTGGCACATACTTGCTTAAAAGAATTCTCGATGTTACGGTACTCAGCCCATTGTTGCAAGTCACACGGTTTTGAGACTTCTCAAAAGTGACTCACTCACCCATTGTTGCATGTCACATGGATTTAGACCCACTCACCAGTGCACAAGAGCAAACAGCAGCGCAGTGACTCCCGAAGCAAACGCCAAGCCTCGATCTTGCCGAACCTCCTCAAACAGCCAGCCTCGGAAGACCAGCTCTTCCACCACTGCTACAGCCGTACCCATTAGTAGCGACTCCAGTACAAGGCGCAGGATGCGAGTGGTGGATACGAGGAGAGAGAGGACGGAGGAGAGGAGGGACGGGAGGAGGGATGAGAGGAGGGAGAGAAGGAGGGTAGGTGTGATGACAGTGGGGTTGGCAGCTGCAGCAGTTGCAGCAGCAGCAGCAGAAGCGGCAGAAGAAGTGAGGATTGGGGCTCCTAGGTGTTGGGTAACTGAGAGGGGTGAGGGAGGAGGGAAATGTAGGGGCAGCCATTGCGGCAGGGAGGAGGTGGCTTGGTGCAGGAGCAGCAGGAGCGAGTGGAAGGCAGAGGATAGGTGTGAGGAGATGAGGGCAAGAGTTGGGAGATGGAGGGTGGGAAGGTGGTGAAAGGTTGGGAACTGGAAGGCTGGGAGGTGAAGGTTCGGGAGGTGGAAGGATGGAAGGTGGAGGGATGGTAGGGTGTCGAAGGGGAGGTTGAGGGAGGTGAGGCGCAGATGTAGCTGTATGGCGTGTAGCAGCAGCAGCAGGGATGAGCCTAGCAGTAGACCCTTTGCCAACCATGCCACCTAGTGGTGATGGGGTGGGAAGAAGATCATTTTTTGTCATGGAATGCAAAACTATGAATTTTAAGAGAGCGGGTTAGGGAGGTGGATGGTAAGCTTGTCTATAGCAGCCTAACAGCTTGACAGCGTAGCAGCGTAACAGCCTAACAGCGTAACAGCGTAACAGCCTAACAGCATAACAGCCTAACAGCATAACAGCCTAACAGCCTAACAGCCTAACAGCCTAACAGCATAACAGCCTAACAGACTAACAGCCTAACAGCCAAACAGCCTAACAGCGTAACAGCCTAACAGCGCAACAGCGTAACAGCCCAACAGCGTAACAGCGTATTAGCGTAACAGCCTAACAACCTAACAGCCTAACAGCGTAACAGCGTAACAGCGTAACAGCGTAACAGCGTAACAGCCTAACAGCCAAACAGCCTAACAGCCCAACATCATAACAGCGTAACAGCGTAACAGCCTAACAGCGTAACAGCGTAACAGCCTAACAGCGTAACAGCGTAACAGCGTAACAGCCTAACAGTGAAACAGCGTAACATCCTAACAGCCTAACAGCCCAACATCATAACAGCGTAACAGCGTAACAGCGTAACAGCCTAACAGCGTAACAGCCCAACAGCGTAACAGCCTAACAGCGTAACAGCCTAATAGCCTAACAGCCCAACAACGTAACAGCGTAACATCGTATTAGCGTAACAGCCTAACAGCCTAACAGCCTAACAACCTAACAGCCTGACAACGTGACAGCGTAACAGGGAAACAGCGTAACAGGGAAACAGCGTAACAGGGTAACAGCGTAGCAGCGTAAAAGCGTGACAGCCTAACAGCGTAACAGCCTTACAGCGTAACAGCGTAACAGCATAGCAGCCTAACAGTGTAACAGTTTAACGGCCTAACAGCGTAACAGCCTAACAGCCTAACAGTGCAACAACGTAACAGCCTAACAGCCTAACAGCCCAACATCATAACAGCGTAACAGCTTGACAGCGTATTAGCGTAACAGCGTAATATCGTAACAGCCTAACAGCGTAACAGCTTAACAGCCTAACAGCCCAACAGCCCAACAGCCCAACAGCCTAACAGCCTAAGAGCCTAACAGCCTAACAGAGAAACAGCGTAACAGCGTAAAAGACTAACAGCCTAACAGCGTAACATCGTAACATCGTAACAGCATAACAGCGTATCAGCGGAACAGCGTAACAGCCCAATAGCGTAATAGCAAAACAGACTAACAGCATAACAGCATAACAGCGTATTAGCATAACAGCGTAACAGCCTAACAGCGTAACAGCGTATTAGCGTAACAGCCTAACAGCTTAACAGCCTTACAGCGTAACAGCGTAACAGCGTAACAGCCTAACAGGCTAACAGCCTCACAGCATAACAGCATAACAGCGTAACAGCGTAATAGCCTAAGAGCGTAACAGCCTAACAGTGTAGCAGCCTAAGAGCGTAACAGCCTATCAACGTAACAGAATAGCAACTAAACAACTTGGCCAGCTCACCTCCTGTGTTGACTCGAACACTCGCAATCCATACTGCTCAATTGGGTGCTCGAATCTCCTCACCCTCCTGCCCCATATGCGCACTAGCAGCAGCAGGGCTATGTACAGACCCACAGCTAGCAGGGCTGTGGTGACGACAGGTGGTGCCGCGGGATTGGCCGAGGCGGAGGTGATTGTGGTGATGAGGGAGGGGAGGAGGGGGATGAGGATAGGCGACCAGAGAAGGACGAGGAGGAGGAGCGAGAAGAGGAGCCTGAGGGGTGGGAGAAAGGGGGTTGGGAGAAAGGGAGTGGGAGAAAGGGGTTGGGAGAAGAGAGGTGGGTCAGAAAGTGCAAGAGTGAGGTGATGAGTGTGGAGGTGAGGGAGGGAAAGATGGGCTGGCATGGAAGAGAAGGAAGGTGAGTGATCGCTTGTGAATGTGTGTGAGTGCGATGAGCTGATCGGACAGCCGTACAGCCCCGTGAGTGTTGGAAGTAGATTGCACTCAAGATGCTTTGTGCATGTGTGTGTGCACGCACCCAGTCGTGAGCGCCCATTTGTGAGTGTCTGTGAGTGCGATGAACTGATCGCACAGCCCCACAGCGCCGTACAGCCCCTTGGGTGTGATTAGTACATTGCAATCAAGATGCTTTGTGCAGGTGTGTGGCCGCACCTGGTCGTGAGCGCCCGCTTGTGGATGTCAGTGAGGGCAATGAGCTGCTCGCACAGCCCCACAGCGCCGTACAGCCCTCTGGGTGTGATAAGTGCACCAAGCACCTGGCTGGCTCCGACTTGTGTCTGTGCGTGCTCACAGCACCTCACCTGGTCGTGAGCGCCCGCTTGTGGATGTCTGTGAGGGCAATGAGCTGCTCGCACAGCCCCACAGCGCCGTACAGCCCTCTGGGTGTGATAAGTGCACCAAGCACCTGGCTGGCTCCGACTTGTGTCTGTGCGTGCTCACAGCACCTCACCTGGTCGTGAGCGCCCGCTTGTGGATGTCTGTGAGGGCAATGAGCTACCCGCACAGCCCCACAGCGCCGTACAGCCCTCTGGGTGTGATAAGTGCACCAAGCACCTGGCTGGCTCCGACTTGTGTCTGTGCGTGCTCACAGCACCTCACCTGGTCGTGAGCGCCCGCTTGTGGATGTCTGTGAGGGCAATGAGCTGCTCGCACAGCCCCACCGCACCGTACAGCCCTCTGGGTGTGATAAGTGCACCAAGCACCTGGCTGGCTCCGACTTGTGTCTGTGCGTGCTCACAGCACCTCACCTGGTCGTGAGCGCCCGCTTGTGGATGTCTGTGAGGGAAATGAGCTGCTCGCACAGCCCCACCGCACCGTACAGCCCCTCGGCAAAGAGAGCCACCTTCCCCACCACCCGCAGCATGCGCCCCTGCGACCCCCACTGCTGTATCATCTCGGATAATCTGGTTGGTTGGAGTAAGGGTGGGGGGGAGAGGGAGGGCGAAAGGGTGACTCACTATACGACCCGCAGCATGCGCCCCTGCGACCCCCACTGCTGTATCATCTCAGATAACCTGCTTGGGATGGAATGGCGGGGGGGGGGGGGGGGGGGGGTGGAGGAAGGGGGGGGATGAAGAAGGCACCTTCCCAACCACTTTGCCACCCTCACCATGCGCCCCTGCGACCCCCACTGCTGTATCATCTCAGATAACCTGGTTGGAGGATGGACCATGGAAAGGGGAGTGGAGGAGGCAAGGTGAAAAGAGCCGCCTTCCCCACCACTCTCAGCATGCGCCCCTGCGGCCCCCACTGGTGTATCAACTCGAATAACGTGTGGGAGGGTTGGGAAGGGTGTTATTCGACTTGCCTTGTTGATTCCACCCACCTCTTCACCTCCACCCACCTCTTCACCTCCACCCACCTCTTCACCTCCACCCACCTCTTCACCTCGACTCACCTCTTCACCTCGACTCACCTCTTCACCTCGACTCACCTCTTCACCTCGACTCACCTCTTCACCTCGACTCACCTCTTCACCTCGACTCACCTCTTCACCTCGACTCACCTCTTCACCTCGACTCACCTCTTCACCTCGACTCACCTCTTCACCTCGACTCACCTCTTCACCTCGACTCACCTCTTCACCTCGACTCACCTCTTCACCTCGACTCACCTCTTCACCTCGACTCACCTCTTCACCTCGACTCACCTCTTCACCTCGACTCACCTCTTCACCTCGACCCACCTCTTCACCTCGACCCACCTCTTCACCTCGACCCACCTCTTCACCTCGACCCACCTCTTCACCTCGACCCACCTCTTCACCTCGACCCACCTCTTCAAGTAAATGTATCCGTCCTGCTTCGCAGAGGGGACACCATTTGTATTACACTCGTAAGATTTCACCATTTTTGAGACGCCTAAAATATTGTAGTGCACCAACTTGACTCACCTCTTGAGGTCCATCTGTCCATTCTGCTTCCTGGGAAGCACAGGCGACGCCACTTGTATCGCACGTGTGCATTTTCAAGAATTCTCAGACTCCTTTAATATTATATTTTTCTAGCTTGACTCACCTCTTGAGGTCCACCTGTCCGCCCTGCTTCCTGGGAAGCACAGGCGACGCCACTTCAATCGCCCTCTCAGCCATCTCCATGAGCCCCTCTCCTGCACCCTCTGCGGATTCCCCCTCCCCTCCTCGCTCTCCTCCTCCTCCCTCTGCTCCTCCCTTTCCTCCTTCCTCTGCCTCTCGCTTTGGTTGCTGTTCCTCTGCTGCTTTAAATGCTGTTCCACCAGCAGCAGCCTCTGCAGCAGTCCCACCAGATCCGCCTGTACCATTCATGGCTGTAGCAGCCATGGCTGTGGTCCCCGTGCCTGTAGCGTTCATTGCCAGGGCTGTAGCAGCCATGGCTGTAGCAGAGCCGACCATCTTACGCACGGGAGAGCCTGCTGAGTAGAACCACCCATCCTCCTCCCTTAGCTCCTCCTTTTGCTCGCCTGTTTTTTCCCTCCTCTGAGCCTCGTGCTTAAAAGGCTTCTGGTCCCATCCCCTTCCCTCCGCCTCATGCCATACCCCCCTCTGCTCATCCCTAGCTCTGAACTTCTCTTCCCCTGCCAAATTCCCTTCTCCATTCTCCCTACCTTCCTCCTCCTTCTGCTCCCTCTTCTCCTCCTCCCTCCACTTTTCCTCCTCCTTCTCCTCTTCCCTCAACTCCTCCTCCTTCCTCTCTTCCTCCTCCTCCTCCCGTTTCTCCTTCTCCTGCTTTAGCTCCGCCAAAATCCCACCCACAGCATCAAACACGCTTGCCACAGCCACCTGTGAGCTGTCATCTACCCCAGATAACGCCTGCACAGCTACAGACAAATTAAGCCCACCAATAGATAGAGGAGCGGAGGATGCAGGTGGGGAGGGAGAGGGAGCGGGGTTGGGGGAAGGGGGAGGGTCGGAAGGAGGGGAGGCGGGGGAAGGACCTGGGGAAGGGGAGGGCGCATCAGAAGGGGGAGATGGGGAGGTTGGGGGAAGGCTGGGGGGCGGAGGGATAGCAGAAGAGGAGTCGGGGAGAGTAGGAGAGGGAGAGGGGGAGGCAACTGAAGGGGAATGAGGGGAAGGGGAGCTGGAGGCGGGATTACTGGGGGGAGGGGGAGTGGGGGGAGGGGGGATGGGGGGACGGGGGGTAGGGGAAGGGGAGTTGGGGAAAGTGGACTTGGGGGGAGGGGGAGTTGGGGAAGGGGATGTGGAGGGAATGGAAGGGGGGCTCGCGAGGCTGGGGGGAGCAGAAATGGGGGAAGGGGAAGCGGGGTGAGGGGGACCAGGGAGAGGGGAGGTGCGGGGAGGGGAAGTAGGGGAAGGGGAGCCGGCAGGAGGGGAGGTGGGCGGAGGGGACGTGGGGGAAGGGGGAGGGGCACTGCTGACAGCAGATGTCAAGCTGGGGAGGGTGGGAATGGATGATGGTGGAGGGGGTGATGGAGGAGCAGGTGGAACGGGAGATGGGGAAGGAGAACTGGCGGAGGAGGTGGCAGGGGGAGGGGAGACGGCAGGCGGAGGGGAGGCGACAAGGGGAGGGGAGGCAGCAGGGGGAGGGGAGGCGGCAGGGGGAAGGGAGGCGGCAGGGGGAAGGGAGGCGGCAGGGGGTGTGGGGGCGGCTGGGGAGACTGGAGGAGAGACTTGGGAAGGAGGGAGGCTAGGAGGGGTGGGGGGGAGGAGAGGAGAGGTCTGTTGGGATGTGCCTTTTGAGTCAACTCGAGAGGTCTGCTGGGATGTGCCAGGAGGATGGGAGGAGACGGATGGAGCAATGCTGCTGCTCGTTCTGCTGGGGTTGCCGCTGCTGCTGCTGCTGTCTCTGCCGCTGCCACCGCTGTTGCTCCCTCTATTGCTCTTCTTCTTGCCATTACGAGTACCAGCAGCAGCAGCAGCAGCAGCAGCAGCAGCGGCGGCGGCAGAGGAGCCCGCATCGGCCTGGTCATACTCGAGTGGTTCGCGCCACAACTCGTCAAGCACCTGACCCTGCCGCTGCTGCTCCTTCTCTTGCTCTTGCTGCTCCTTCTCTTGCTCTTGCTGCTCCTTCTCTTGCTCTTGCTGCTCCTTCTCTTGCTCTTGCTGCTCCTTCTCTTGCTCTTGCTGCTCCTTCTCTTGCTCTTGCTGCTCCTTCTCTTGCTGTTGCTGCTCCTCCTCCTCTGACTGTTGCTGCATTTTCTCCTGCTTTTGCCGCTGCCCCTTCCCACGCTCCTCCTGCTCCTCCTCCTCCTGCTGCTGCTGCTGCTCCTGCCCACTCCGCTCCACATCAGGTATCAAAATTTGAGGCGCCTCTTTTTTAGGCGCCTCTTTCTGAGGCGCCTCAAGAATCTCACGTGTCTGGGGAAGCAGAGAAGCCGCCTGCTTGAGAGTGCTTTCCACTGCAGCTGAGCGATGGGCGGCCTCTAGGCAGTGCCTGAGAGTGGTGGTCACTGCTGACTGCTGCTCTGGCGGCAGCACCTGCTGCACTGCGCCTGCTATGCCCTGCCCCCTCGTTATGGCCGCTAGGAGCTGGGAAAGAACACACAGTGAAGCAGGGAAAAATGGAATGGGAGGGACGCGGGGAAGGGCAGAGTTGAAGGGAAGGACAGGGAAGGGAAGCTAAGCTGCACAACCAAATCACTCAAGACAAGAAAACCCACATACACACGCACACGTACATGCACCCACACCCACACGCACCTGCGCCCTCTCTCCTGTGCTCACAGCACCAGGCATGGCGGCATCAACGAGGTTCAAAGCAACCTCCGCCCACTGAGCCACCGACGGTGCTGCTGCTGCCACTGCTGCTGCTGCCTCGGCCTCTGTGTTTGTTTCATCTGCTGCTCCTGTTGCTGCGGCTGCTGCCAGTTCTGCTGCTACTGCTGCAGCTCCTTTCTCTGCTGCTGTCTCTGCTAAAGATGCAACCGCTCTTGCTTCTGATTTAACGCCAGCTGCTGTTGTTTCGGCTGATGCTGCAGCTGCTGCTGCCTCACTTCTAGCCGCTGCTGCTTCTGCTGAAACATCTGCAGCCGCTGCTTCTGCTGAAACATCTGCAGCCGCTGCTGCTGTAGGTAACTGTGCAGCACCTCCCTGCATCGCCCCCCCTGAGTTCACATTACCCCTGTGCAGTTGTGCTGGTGATGGCAGGGAAATATCTGATGCCTCGGTACCTGAAGAAGCACCTGAAGGAGCACCTGAAGGAGCACCTGAAGGAGCATCTGAAGGAGCACCTGAAGGAGCATCTGAAGAGGCAACTGAAGCAGCACCTGAGGCAGAACCAGTCGCAGTTGCTGAGACAGGTTGGCTCGATGAGCTGGCCGGTTGGACAGAAGGTGCAGCAGTTTGGACAGGCAGTGGAGCAGGCTGAGCGGGTTGATGGGCAGGCGGAAGGACAGGTAGAGGGGCAGGTTGGATGGAGGGAGAAGCAGCTGGAACAGGCGGAGGGGCAGGCTGAGGGGCAGGTTGGATGGAGGAAGAAGCAGCTTGAACAGTCGGAGGGGAGGGTTGAGCAGGCCGAGAAGTAGGTTGGGTAGGTTCAGGGGCAGGCTGAAGGGCAGTTTGCACAGGCTGAGCAGCAGGTTGGGCAGGTGGAGGGGCACGTTGGGCAAGTTGAGGGGCAGGTTGAGCAGGTGTCTCGGCAGGTGGAAATGGTGATGTGGGTGCAGCAGTAGAGTCTAAAGCATTGTCGTCAGGAGGCGCCTCCAATGCATGCCCACTCCTCTCTTCCTCTCCATCCCATCCACTCCCTGCTCCTGTGTTCCCGTTTCCTTCACCTGCACTCCTCTCTCCCTCTCCCTCACTCGCTTCCACTGTGTGCTGCTTGCTGCCGTCTCTGTGATGCCTCCAGTCTCGGCTTCCTGCTGCCGATGCCCTCTTCTTGCCCGGTATAACCTTGTCTCGTACTTTCTTGAGCTCCTTCAATCGTTGTTGCAGCAGAGCACACTCGACAGCTGATAACCACTGCACGTGGGGGTAGTCAGGGGCGGGTAGGGGGAAACAAGAGGGAGAGGGGAGCATGAGGGGACCAAGGGGGAGGAGGGGAGTCAGACGTACAGTTTACCAAGTATCCACGCCTGAACTCCCTCAGTCTTCGTTGCAGCAGCGCACTCTCGACAGCTGGCAACCACTGCACGCGGGGGTAGTCAGGGGCGGGGGAGGGAAGGGAAGGGAAACGGCAGAGGCCAAGGAAGGGAAGTGAATGGATGACTTGGCAGACTGACTGAGTGTGCATGAGGTTGAACAAAGATTGAGACGCTCATTCTGCTCCATGCGAGTACTGTTTTTGAATAATATGATGCTGCTGAAACCAGCTTCAACCACAGGATGCCAACAAGGAAAGAGCGGCTAATTGGCTGGCTGGGTTGCTGGTGTGGTGTGGTGTTAAAAGTGAGTCAACCACAGAAACACCACTGGTCAAAAGCGGCTGTCTGTGTGATGCAGTCGCACTCACCTGCTCAATATCATGCACACTCACTCACCTCATTCACGATTTGCAGCACACGGTTGGTAAAAGCAGGGCTCCAAGCATGAGCGGAAGAGAGAGGACCAGACGAACCGATCCCTTCAGCAGCAGCAACGGGAACATTAGGAGAATCACCATCAGCAGTAGCAGCAGCAGCAGCAGCAGCAGCAGCAGCAGCAGCAGCAGCAGAGGAGTCTGAAACAGTTCTTATGTTGGAGAGTACACAGAGGGAGAGGTTTCTGTTGGTGAGGAAGGGTTGCAAGGTAGAAGGCTCCGGGGAGGGGGAGGATGACGAGGGAAAAGCAGTGGCGCAAGCAGTGCTGCTCCCTGCAATTACACTCCCCCTCTGCTCAAAGAAACGAATCAGAACACACAACAAAGAGCACACATGAGAAGGAGCAGGTGATGCATGGGAGGGGCGAGCGAGAGCCGGGGTGCGGCTGAAACCAATTCCTGTGCAATGTCCAACCACTTCCCCCTCTTTACCACTCACTTGCATGCACAGAGTGGGGAGTAACACGGCTTCCAACACACCACACGCACAGCACGCATCGCAAAGCATTGACACTTTGATTCGTGCAACACCCAAGAAAAAACAACCCACCCCACCCCATTCACCCCACCCACTCACTTGCACGCACAGAGTGGGCATGGACACGTGCTCCAGCACGCCACACGCACAGCACGCATCATAAAATGCCGAGATCGACTTGTAGCCCACGGCACGGCGTGACATGGCGTCGTCCCATTGGCTGAGCGACGAAGCTGCCAGCGCGGCTGATAGATTGAGGGGCTCGTGTGGGCCCCACGCGTCAGAGAAAATCATCTGAGGATGGTAAGGCTGGGCGGTTTTGGGGGGGGGGAGCAGGGGAGAGGGTTTGTGGGGGCGGGGACATTAGTTTTTTCAGAGTTGTAAAAGTAAATTGATGTGTAGAACGATGGGCCTACACTTACCCATATGGCAGGGGAGAGGGGAGAGGGGAGAGGGGAGAGGGGAGAGGGGAGAGGGGAGAGGGGAGAGGGGAGAGGGGAGAGGGGAGAGGGGAGAGGGGAGAGGGGAGAGGGGAGAGGGGAGAGGGAGAGGGGAGAGGGATCAGATGAGATGTGAAGCCTCACAAGCAACAGAGGGAGGCAGGGAGAGGGTGTGCGGGGATAAGTGCAAGTGTGAGTGCAAGTGGGTGTGGGTGGGTGGGAAGGTTTGTGTTGGGGTTAAGTAGGGCAACCTCATGCGTGTGCAGGAGATGCTTGTAATCCTGGACCATCTTCCTGGAAACTTCTTCCTCCTTGTCAGGGCAGTGACTGCTGAGGAAGCCATGGTGGTGAAGGCATGTGGGCGAGTCAACCGCCATGGCTGCTTGAATAACCCTATGTGCCGAGGCCTGCTTCACCACCCCACCACCACCAGTTCCTTTAGTCCTCGCAGTCTTCCCAACCCCATCCACGCCATGCAGCTCCCCCCCTGCCTTTCCAGCCCTTCTTTTCTCCCTCCTGCTCTTCGTCCCCCGTTTTTCCCCCCTCTCTCCTTCCCGTGCTACCTTTTTCTCCCCCTCCGCCACCCTCCTCTTTTCACCCAGGTGTCTCAGCAGCAGGTGCCCGCCCAGGCCCACTCCCACTGCCACTACGAGGGAGTCGGGGCAGGAAGATGCGAGGAAATCGGCTGCCAGTGCCACGTCAGCGCTGTCAGCTGGTGAGAAGAAGCTGACAGACATGGAGACATGGAGACATGGAGACATGGAGACATGGAGACATGGAGACATGGAGACATGGAGACATGGAGACATGGAGACATGGAGACATGGAGGGAGGAGGGATGGCGAACGGGAGGGAGAGGGGAATATATTTTAGGCGCCTGAATAATCACTGGTGAGAAAAAGCTGTAGGTGCGAATGGGAAGACATGGAGGGAGGAGGGAGGGCGAACGGGAAGGAGAGGGGATAGGAGGGAAGGAGATAGGAGGGGATGAGGAGAAATGCGAGAGAAGGGGAGAGATCAATACGAGTGACAAAGGAAGTGAGTGGCGAAGGGAGTAACAGATGGAGCAACTGGAGTGACAAAGGGAGTGGACAGAGTGTGCACGCGAGCACACAAGGAACCACATACTCTCATCGGGGGGAAGTATCAAGTCGAATGGTGGGTATCAAGTCGAATGGTGGGTATCAAGTCGAATGGTGGGTATCAATTCCCCCACCACATCCTCTAAGGTTGAGCACCAGGGGCACGTGGCCTCTGGCAGCAATGACTCACCTCACTGGGGCAACCAGGAGCACTGGCTCTCACCCTCACCGTCACCTTTATGCCCTACAGACAGCACAGCACACACACGGACATATGCTCTCTCACCAGGGGGAGGTAACGGGGCTGCCACCGCAGCCTCTCAGGTTGAGCACCACGGGCACGTGGCCCCTGGCAGCTATGCTGGTCGCCAGGCGCTGAATGAAGGGGTCCGCGCTGCCTGCTGCCGTGCCTGCCACCACCAGCACCACCACCATGCCCAAACCTGCCCCAGCTGCTCCATCAGGGCCATGGACGCATCGCATGGCCTCTGGAAGCAATGGCTCACCTCACCCTCACCCTCACCCTCACCCTCACCCTCACCCTCACCCTCACCCTCACCCTCACCCTCACCCTCACCCTCACCCTCACCCTCACCCTCACCCTCACCCTCACCCTCACCCTCACCCTCACCCTCACCCTCACCCTCACCCTCACCCTCACCCTCACCCTCACCCTCACCCTCACCCTCACCCTCACCCTCACCCTCACCCTCACCCTCACCCTCACCCTCACCCTCACCCTCACCCTCACCCTCACCCTCACCCTCACCCTCACCCTCACCCTCACCCTCACCCTCACCCTCACCCTCACCCTCACCCTCACCCTCACCCTCACCCTCACCCTCACCCTCACCCTCACCCTCACCCTCACCCTCACCCTCACCCTCACCCTCACCCTCACCCTCACCCTCACCCTCACCCTCACCCTCACCCTCACCCTCACCCTCACCCTCACCCTCACCCTCACCCTCACCCTCACCCTCACCCTCACCCTCACCCTCACCCTCACCCTCACCCTCACCCTCACCCTCACCCTCACCCTCACCCTCACCCTCACCCTCACCCTCACCCTCACCCTCACCCTCACCCTCACCCTCACCCTCACGCCCAACAGCACTGTCCCACCAGGGATGCTCAAAGTGACACCCAAACGAGCTGGCACTCACCGGGGGGAAGTAACTGGGCTGCCACCGCAGCCTCGCAGGTTGAGCACCACGGGGGCATAACCCCTAATAGCAATGCTGCACGCCAGGCGCTGAATGAAGGGATCCGCGCTGCCTGCTGCCGTGCCTGCCACCACCAGCACCACCAGCAGCACCACCACCAGCACCACCATGCTCACACCTGCTCTCTCTCACATTCACACGCCCAAGCAAACTGGCACTCACCGGGGGGAAGTAACAGGGCTGCCACCGCAGCCTCGCAGGTTGAGCACCACGGGGATATGTCCCCTAATAGCAATGCTGGTCGCCAGGCGCTGAATGAAGGGATCCGCGCCGCCTGCTGCCATTCCTTTGCATTCAGGCTCAAATGTCACCACAAGCACTCACTGGGGGGAGGTTACGGGACTGCCACCGCAGCCCCTCAGGTTGAGAACCACGGGGACATGGCCTCTGGCAGCAATGCTGCTCGCCAGGCGCTGAATGAAGGGATCCGCGCTGCCTGCTGCCGTGCCTGCCACCACCACCACCATCATTCCCTCGCCTGCCTTCAGCTGCTCTGCCAGGCCCAACCGCCCCTGCTGCCGCTGCTGCTGCTGCTGCGACAATCCCAAGGGCTGCGACAATCCCAAGGGCCAGTTTTTGAGGAAATCTAGGGATAGAGTCCCGCCATCTGGAGTGGAGATGCGCCGCCCAAACAACCGCCTCTGGATTGCAGCTCCATCCAGCTGCTGCCGCCCCGAAATCTGTCTCTGGATTGCTGCGCCGCCCACTTGCCGCCCAGGGATCTCCCTCCCACTGGTAACCTCCCTATGTACGACAGAACCCTCCAGTGGAAGAGATGACTGAAACTCCAGCAGTGGCATCCGCTGTGGGAATCCTAGTGTTCGCACCTTAGCAGTATCTTCAACCCCAATCTTAGCCGTTCCATTGCCTACTTTAGTCCCACCAATTTCATCAGCATTGACAGCAGCAGGAGCATTGTCAGCAGGAGCAGTGACAGCAGCAGGAGCATTGTCAGGCGGTTTTTGGAAGAACATGCTTGGTGCAGCAGCAGGGGGAAGAGACGGGCACCGAGCCAGAAAATATTTCTGGAGACCACTTTCGTCGAAGTCGGGCAGCAAGAAAAACCCCACATCGCGTTCCGCTCTCAGCCCCTGATTTGATTCTGTTTCTGAACCACAGAACGCCCCTTTTCCAATTTCCTTTCCATTTTCCCCCTCTTGCTCCAAACCATCTGATCTCCAAGGACCAAAGCTAGCAGCCGAGGTAACGGCCGACACAGCAGCAGAGGCAGCAGCTGTAGCACCGTTATCATCGTCATCACCATCATCGTCAGCACCCGCAGCAGCAGCAGCAGCAGCAGCACCAAGCGAGCCACCACCACGAACAGCGGCACCAACTGCAAAGCCTGCAAGAGCCATAGCAGCACCCACCAGCAGCCCCCCCACTGAATCTAGTGCCCCATTCAAAGGGACAGCCGTTGCCACGTTCAATGCTACATCCGGGGCATGCTCTACCGCTCCTATCACAGCATGCCACGTGTCACTGCTGCTCCCAGCACCAGCAGAGAAATCAGCAGGTAGAGCAGAAACCGAAAAACGAGCTCGTTTGCTCCGCCTCCTGCGGTCTACTGACGTGGCGAAACCTGCGAGTGCAGGGTGATCTGAGTTACCAGGTTCACTCGCGAACAATGGACCGCAATAAGCACCTGATGATCCAAGACAATTGCCTGATGGTCCAAAACAAGTGCCTGAGGGACTCAAACATTTGCCAGAGTCTTCGTGTCTGTATCTACGGAGATCAGAACCACTCCCAAAGCTGCCTCTCACCGTCAGAATCTCTAATATCTTCGTTCCACTGGCTCCGTGTTGAGTAGTTGTGCCTTCCAGGCTGTGGCATCTCCCTGGTGTTTTTCCATAGAAGCTGCTGCGAAGTTCTGGTGCCGAATGATGGTCGCTGGTTAGCACCGAACCGGTCCAGGAGAGAAGTCGGGCTCGCACCTTCCTCGAAGCTGCACGGGAGCTGATTTTAGGAGGAGCAGTGATGTCCCGAAGGGGCCGGTCGTAGGAAGGTAGCGTCATGAAGGCGGCAAGAAGAACGGGATTCGAGTGGTGCTGGTGTTTTATCATTTTAGAAGTGCAAGTCTTTCCATCGAAACCGAAAGCACACTTCGTATCTTGAGAACCAAAGGCCTGCCATACGCCGAAAGAGGCACAGACAGGCTTACGCTAATGAAAACAGCTTTGATCGACAGTCCCATCACAGTAACTTGGAGTCTAGACACGAGTCAACGAGGACCAGGAGAGAATGGCCTTGGAGAATGTCTGGCCTTGGCTGACATGTGCGGTCCAGTAAGCATTGCGAATCTGTGTGTTCCGATACTTGAGGAGCCAATCAGGGAAGGACAGACGCGTAATCTCGCCAAGTGGCAAAGCACCGACGAGGTCGGGCCGTTAGAGGAAACTGACTGAACTCCCTCGATGTCATGCACGCAACCCCGTGGTGTATGTACACCTGGTCGGTTACGGCGGATTGCAGGGAAGGAACGAGGAGGGGAGGCCAAGAGAAGGAAAGGTTAGAGGGGACGAGCATGAATGGAAGCGTCAAGCGTTAAGGAAAAGCTTTCTCAACAGCACCGATTTTGCCGAAGGACGGATGGTTGTGGGGAACAGAATCCCATGATTTCGTCTTGTCGGATTACAGGTAGTTCCTACTGCTTTGCTTGTTTTCTTGATGCAATGAAAATGCAGTGCAGGCAAGCAAGGGTCTGCTATCGAAGCATTTTTCGGCTGTATTCCTCGAATTCTCCGAAAAACACAAACAGGGAGGAAGGGCAGTCAACCAGCAAACACAACCAATCGGGATGCACCGACACGGTGAGGAATAAATTCCGCTATACAAGATAGATTCACCATCCCTATCTATTCAGACGTGCTTACATGTCTAAACAAAAGGAAAACGCATCAATTTCAGTACGCCAACGGTGACGAAAACCTTTGCGTGCATTTTAGCATTCAAAATGGCTCTGGATTACTCTGAACCCACGAGATAGTTATGGGTATCAAGAGTCCAAATTATGTTAGCTTTTGAAACATATTCATGTTCCGTTATCAAGGACTAATTCCCGGGTCAATAATATACCGCGTCTGCTTTTCTGACCTCCTTTTTGAAAGGCGAAAATCTCTTTTGCGGAAAACGCGGGTGAGATGTGGTGATGTTTGAAGTCAACGTGGCACAACGTCAACCCTCAGAACTAGATTGGCCTCGCGCCAAAGTTCGTGGCTCAGTTCCATCCTGCAAGACGCTTCGGCGCTTTAGAAGGCAGAAGAAGATTCAAATTTAAGCTAGAACGTACACTGTGGAAGCATACAGCTGCAGTCGCAACTAAGAGTGCAGCATATACTCACCCGTGAACTCTCGTTGAGTCTCGTAAGTGGGAGAATGTTTATCATCCGTAATAGTGAGTCAGCCCGGTAAATGGTTTTTATTACAGGGAAAACTTACCCTTGAGAGCTCTTCCCCCTGATGCTGCCGTGCCGTGCTGATACTCTGTGACTCTCAACCACAGGAATGATTTCAGCCATCACAAAGCCGCTATAGCTGCACCCTATCCAAGACGCTCGAGCTCAACCACAGCCTTCTGGTACCAGCCGATCTTCTTAGATTTACAGGGGGTCACCTGCTCATTGCTGTTCAATTTTAGCCAATCCTTAATGAATTCCTTCAATTTCCCACTAAGAGTCCCTGTACAGCACAGCGTTCGCGTGAATCCACGTCATTTTCAAGGCAGCGTTCTCCTAGACCACTAGTCTCGTCCTTCCTCATCGCCCGGTGGGATTCTTCTTAGTGCAAGTGACCCGATTGACCGCGCGCCGGTTTCTGCTGCAGGGCCGGATTTCAGCCTAGGAGGTTGTATAAACCAGGAATCACCCCATACAAGGCCCCTTATTTAACTCGCGGATGTTCTGGTCACGCGGTTTAGGCCGCGTCAATGCGACCATGCGCTGGGTTTGACAGCCTGGAAGGATCCGAAGTCCGAAATTCGAATGCCGCGTTTCAATTTCTCAGGCCGTCCTTCTCTTGCGATCGCCTCATCGCGCAAACATGCGACCAGTGCGACGAAAAATGCGACTAGAAAGCTCATGAACGACCACCCGCGACTTTCTTTCCCTCGCACTTTCACCATCACGCGCTCGCAGTGTCACGGACCATTGCCGCTTAGTACGCGTATTCGACTCCGGAAATTCCGGCTTCTCGTAGTACCCCCTCTTGCTGTTGCGTCACTGTTCGGCCGGCGAAATATCTCTTGCCATTCCAAGTAGTTTTCTCATATAATTCACCAAGTAGTAGACTTTCTTGGCAAGCCGCCCATCTCCTAGTGCTCATAATGGCGAACTCACCATTGCCTCTCCGTTTAGCTTCCCCGTTGCGGCCCTTGTTCTCTACTCCATCCTAAAGTAATGTTTCTTGCCAGAGCCGCTTTCAATGTCTTACGCACCCGTGCACGATTCGGCAACATGTCTCGCCTACATTCCCTTCTAAAATGCTCGCTTTTGCGTTTAAGTAACACCCGCTTCTAACTAACAGTCAAGGGGAGATTTTGGTTTCTGGATTTGACGCTACTAGGACGAACAAGCATTCTGTCCCTGCTTAACCTGAATCAAGCTCAACGCGAGGTTACAAATCGCTGTTGAGGGGGTCAACGCCCTGTCCCACACCGATCCAGCGCCTTCAGGCCTTGCCGCACCAAGCCTGCGCCTTCGGGCTGAGCCACACCGAGCCTGCGCCTTCAGGCTGTGCCACACCGAGCCTGCGCCTTCAGGCTGTGCCACACCGAGCCTGCGCATTCAGGCTGTGCCACACCGAGCCTGCGCCTTCAGGCTGTGCCACACCGAGCCTTCGCCTTTAGGCTGTGCCACACCGAGCCTGCGCCTTCAGGCTGACCCAAACCAAGCCTGAGCCCACAGGCTGTGCCACGCCGAGCCTGCAGGCGCTGGCTGTACCACACCAAGCCTGCACCTCCACCTGTGCCACGCCACGCCACTGCCAGAGTCTCAATCTAAGGAGCAATCGGCAGCAGAGGCAGCAGACAGGCAGCACCCACCGTCAGGAGAGGCAGTAGCAACAGTGCATTAGTGGCAGAAGCGGCAGCTGCAGCAACAGCACCCGGCAGAAGCAGCGGCAGCAGGCTGCAATGCGCATCCTGTGCGACGTGTGCGAGGCCGCACCCGCGAAGGTGTTCTGCGCTGCAGATGAGGCGGCGCTGTGCCTTGCATGCGACAACAAGGTAACCCGCTCGTAGTTACAATACAAGGTAAAGCAGTCGCTAGTACTAGTTACTCAGTCAGGCACATTGCTGCACTGCGCTGCGCAAGTGAAAGTGGACTCATGACCTGCTAGCCCTTCATTATCTTATTTTATCCCCCGCCCCTCTTGCTCCCCATCAGTCGGTCCAACATCCATGACCGCAACAAGCTCTCCAGATGCCGTATGGGCCTGGCTGCATCCGGTTGGGAAGAACTTTCCAAGGGCCAATACCTGGACCCAGCTGCTTTCCAAGCTTTTTCCCTAACCTCCCATATCCCCTCTCTTATTCCCTCCCTTATTCCCTCTCTCTCCTTCTCATCAGGTTCATGGATGCAACAAGCTCGCCAGCCGCCACGTGCGCCTGGAGCTCGCAGAGGCGCGCGCCATCCCGCGCTGTGACATATGCGAGAACGCGCCTGGTGAGTACCTTATAGGCCCCTGGGAGGGCTTATAAGGGGGCTGAATAACGTGCTTATAGCGGGACTGGTGAGTATAGCGTTCAGAGGCGCGTGCCATCCCCTGCTGTGACATCTGCGAAAACGCCCCCGGTGGGTAGCCCTTGGGGATGGCTTTTAAGGGGACTGAGTGGCGTGCTTATGACGGGGCTGGTGAGTGGCGTGCAAATAGAGTGCAGAGGCGCGAGCCATCCCCGCTGTGACATCTGCGAGAACTCGCCTGGTAAATAGCTTGTAAAGCCTCTGGGAGGGCTTATAAAGGGACTGAGCAGCGTGCTTATAGCAGGATTGGTGGGTAGCGTGCTGATAGCTCGCAGAAGCGAGCGCCATCCCCTGCTGTGACATCTGAGAGAACGCGCCTGGTGAGTGGGGCATATAGCGGGACTGCTGATAGCGAGTACGAGGAGGGTGGGGAGACCAGAAGCGCTGGGGAAGGAAAGGGGAAGTGCTGAAGGGGATGGAGGCTGCATGTGGAGACCCTATGCACCTTCCACCCCAGCCCTTCCACCCCGGCCCTTCCACCCCGGCCTGCCCATTCTTCCTCCTCCTCCCCATCCTCCCTTCCTCCTCCCCACCTCCCTTCCCCCCTCCCCCTCCCCCACAGCCTTCTTCTACTGCGCAGTGGACGGCACATCGCTCTGCCTGCAGTGCGACCTGGACGTGCACATAGGCTCACTCGCCCCTCCCCATCCTTCCTACCCTTCCCATCCTCCCCTTTCCTCCCCCTTCCTCTCCATCCTCCTGCCCGCTCCCTCCAGCCTTCTTCTACTGTGCAGTGGACGGCACATCGCTGTGTCTGCAGTGCGACCTGGACGTGCACATAGGCGGCAAGAAGGCGCATGAGCGGTATCTGCTCATGGGGCAACGCGTGGAGGTGAGGGGAGGGGTGGTGTGGGGGAGGGACGGTGGGGGCAAGGGATGTGCGTGTGGCAGCGCGTGGAGGTGAAGCAAGGGATGCACTCACAGGCATATACCTGGCCTCGACGTGCACATAGGCGGCAAGAAGGCGCGCGAGCGGTACCTGCTAATGGGGCAACGCGTGGAGGTGAGGGGAGGGGTGGTGTGGGGGAGGGACGGTGGGGGCAAGCTGCTCATGGGGCAACGCGTGGAGGTAAGGGGCTGTCAGGGGGTGGGGGCTCTTTGACCCGTGGGGTTCACTCACAGGTTCATCTGACCTGGACGTGCACATAGGCGGCAAGAAGGCGCATGAGCGGTACCTACCTGCTCATGGGGCAACGCGCGGAGGTGAGACAAGGAAAGGAGGTCAAAGGCCTGAAGGCGGGGATGAGGCAGGACTGGTGATGGGGCAGGACTGGTGATGGGGCAGGACTGGTGATGGGGCAGGACTGGTGATGGGGCAGGACTGGTGATGGGGCAGGACTGGTGATGGGGCAGGACTGGTGATGGGGCAGGACTGGTGATGGGGCAGGACTGGTGATGGGGCAGGACTGATGATGGGGCAGGACTGGTGATGGGGCAGGACTGGTGATGGGGCAGGACTGGTGATGGGGCAGGACTGGTGATGGGGCAGGACTGGTGATGGGGCAGGACTGGTGATGGGGCAGGACTGGTGATGGGGCAGGACTGGTGATGGGGCAGGACTGGTGATGGGGCAGGACTGGTGATGGGGCAGGACTGGTGATGGGGCAGGACTGGTGATGGGGCAGGACTGGTGATGGGGCAGGACTGGTGATGGGGCAGGACTGGTGATGGGGCAGGACTGGTGATGGGGCAGGACTGGTGATGGGGCAGGACTGGTGATGGGGCAGGACTGGTGATGGGGCAGGACTGATGATGGGGCAGGACTGGTGATGGGGCAGGACTGGTGATGGGGCAGGACTGGTGATGGGGCAGGACTGGTGATGGGGCAGGACTGGTGATGGGGCAGGACTGGTGATGGGCAGGACTGGTGATGGGGCAGGACTGGTGATGGGGCAGGACTGGTGATGGGGCAGGACTGGTGATGGGGCAGGACTGGTGATGGGGCAGGACTGGTGATGGGGCAGGACTGGTGATGGGGCAGGACTGGTGATGGGGCAGGACTGGTGATGGGGCAGGACTGGTGATGGGGCAGGACTGGTGATGGGGCAGGACTGGTGATGGGGCAGGACTGGTGATGGGGCAGGACTGGTGATGGGGCAGGACTGGTGATGGGGCAGGACTGGTGATGGGGCAGGACTGGTGATGGGGCAGGACTGGTGATGGGGCAGGACTGGTGATGGGGCAGGACTGGTGATGGGGCAGGACTGGTGATGGGGCAGGACTGGTGATGGGGCAGGACTGGTGATGGGGCAGGACTGGTGATGGGGCAGGACTGGTGATGGGGCAGGACTGGTGATGGGGCAGGACTGGTGATGGGGCAGGACTGGTGATGGGGCAGGACTGGTGATGGGGCAGGACTGGTGATGGGGCAGGTCTGGTGATGGGGCAGGACTGGTGATGGGGCAGGACTGGTGATGGGGCAGGATTGGTGATGGGGCAGGACTGGTGATGGGGCAGGACTGGTGATGGGGCAGGACTGGTGATGGGGCAGGACTGGTGATGGGGCAGGACTGGTGATGGGGCAGGACTGGTGATGGGGCAGGACTGGTGATGGGGCAGGACTGGTGATGGGGCAGGACTGGTGATGGGGCAGGACTGGTGATGGGGCAGGACTGGTGATGGGGCAGGACTGGTGATGGGGCAGGGGCTGATTGCCTCGTGGCTCCTGGGGTTCACTCAGCCACCTGGCCTCGTTGTGCATATCCGTGGCAGGAAGGTGCATGAGCGGTACCTACCTGCTCATGGGGCAGTGCATGGAGGTGAGAAAGATGCTCTTTCCCCGCTCCCTCTCCCCTCACCCCTCTCCACTCCCTCCCAGCTGTTTTCTTCCCCCTCCCGTTTTTTTTCCCGCCCCTACGCCGGCCCCTCTTTCCCCGCTCCCTCTCCCCTCACCCCCCTCCACTCCCAGCTGTTTTCCCTCGCCTCCCCTCTCTCTTTTCCCCTACCCCTCTTCCCTCGTTCCCCTCCTCCCCGTTCTTCCCCCGCTCACCCCCGGCTCCCCACCCCCCCCCCCCTCTCTCTCTGGCGGAGGACCCCACCCAGCCCGCATCTTACCCCACCCAGCCCGCATCTTACCTCACTCCCCCTCCCCTCCCTATTTCGCCTCCCCATTTCCCCCATCCCCCCTCCCGCCCCTCAACCCTCACCCTCTCTTTTCCCCCTTCCACCTCCCCCAGACCCCCCAGCCCAACCAGCCCACCCTTCCCCTCACTTCTCCAAGCTCCTGTTTTTACCCCTCATCTCCCTCCTCATCTCCCTCCTCATCTCCCTCCTCATCTCCCTCCTCGTCTCCCTCCTCATCACCCCCTGGTCATCTTCCCCTCACAGCTCCCCAAGGCCCCCCCTTCTCTGGTGGAAGACCCCACCCAGCCCGCCCTCCCCTCACTCCTCTTCCCTTCGATTTGTTCCCCTCTCTGTCCTCTTTTTCCCCTTCCAGCTCCCCAAGACGCCCCCTGCTCTGGCGGAGGACCCCACCCAGCCCGCCCTCCCCTCCCCCCTCTCCACTCTCCCCTTTCCACTCTTCTTTTGTCCCCTCTCCTCCCCTTTCTCCTCCTGTCCCCCTCCCCCTCTTTCCCCCAGCTCCCCAAGACGCCCCCCGCTCTGGCGGAGGACCCTACTCAGCCCGCCCTCCCCTCCCTCCCGCCTCTTTCCACTTTTCCCCTCCCCTTTTCCCCCACTCCCCCACCCCCGCACTCCCCGCACACCTTCTCTTTTCCCCCTCCAACAGCCCCCCAAGACACTCCCCGCCCCTTCTCTCCCCTTACCCCTCTCCAATCCCGCTTGTTTTCCATCCCCTCCCCTTCCTCTTCCCACCCCTACCCCTCTTCCCCTGTTCCCCCTCCTTTTCCCCTCCCCCACCTTTCCCAGCTCCCCAAGACTCCCCCCGCTCTGGCAGAGGACCCCACTCAACCTGCCCTCCCCTCCCCAGGGGGCGGCCCTCCGGACCATCCCCTCCGCCCAGGCGCGCAGGGAGGGGGTGGGGGTGGTAACTCCACTGGTAACCCCACTGGTAACCACATGGGTAAGACGGGGAATGCAGATATGGGCGGTGGAAACATGGGGAAGGGGAATGTGAGGAATCATCTGCATGGGAGTGGGGGAGGTCAGGGGAACGCGCAGGGGGGAGGTGGTATGTGGCATGGAGGGGCGAATGGAGGGGGGGGTGGGGAGGGGGAGGGAGGGAGAGGTATTGAAAACGGTGATGGTTTTGGTGCTGCTGCTGGTAAGGATGGTGAAATGGGAGGACGAGGAAGAAGAGGAGGAGAAGATGACGAGATAATGCACATGCAGCAAGGAGGGGACACGGGGGGGAGGGACAATAACGAGCCAACCCCAATGAGCGTGGTTCTTCCTACCCTTGGGGGCGATGGAGGGTCAGGCGGGACAGCGGGAGGCGGAGAGGGAACAGGAGGAGGAGGAGGAAGCGGAGGAGGAGGAGGTGGAGGAGGGGTGACGGGAGGCGGAGGAAAGGGGGGGACAGGGGGGGCGGGAGGGACAGGGGGAGGGGGATGTTCGGGGGGTTTGACTGGTACAGCAACGGGAACAATGCAGGCATTGACTTTGAATGTGGGGGGAGGGGGGAGTGGGGGAGAGGGGGGCAGTGGGGGGGCTGTTCAGGAAAAGGCAGGGGTGGGAGTAGGCGCAAGGGGAGGTGTAGGGGCAGGGACAATGAGAGGAAATGGGTTGTTTCATTTGCGGTCTGGTGCTGCTGGGTTGGGTCCGGTGACAGGGTCTGGGCTAGGGGCTGGGATGGGGATGGGAGTGGGGGCAGGGATGGGGGGTCGGAGAGCTGGTGGTGTGGCAGGGAGAGGAGGCGAAGAGGGAGGGGCTCGGAGCATAGTTATGGGGAACGTGAGTGACGCCCCTGCTGTGGCCATAGCGGTGGGGGATGATGAGATCCCTGCGTTACTGTCACCTGCTGTAGAAGCACACGGGTATCAACAGCAGCACGTGCGCCAGCAACAGCAACAGCAGCAACAACAGCAGCAGCAGCAGCAGCAGCAGCAGCAGCAAAAGCGAGAGGAAGGGAATCAAGGCAGGGGGGGCATGATCGATTTGAACTCCTGGCCTCAGCGGTCTACTGAACCCTCCCAAAAAAAGGTGGGCTTTTCTGAAAGCGGTGAGGGGTGTGGATGGGGCTTAGTATACGCTTACCACTCCTCACGACTCTCCGGTTGATGCTGTTCAAGGGCGGAGGGTGGTGGAATGCTTTCGTTGCGGTTTCCCTTTTCTCCGGCTTCTCTGATGTTTTTTTCCAAAACTTGGATGCTTCTGTGCTCCTTCTCACAGCTGTAGTGAGCTTGTGGATGCAGGGGGGGAGCAATGGAGGAGAGCTGAGCAGCGAAGCAGGGGTAGTGCCGGATATGCCGCCCGATGAAATTGCCGTCCAGGCAATGTGATGTGACGTGCTGTGCTCTCAGCAGCATGTTTGGCTGGTCTTTCTCATATCTGAATTAGGGGCTGCTGTGATATATGCTATGGGATGACTAACTACAGTTGAATGTAGCCAGGCAGTTTTTATTGCGAGGAATGTATGTGAATTGACCGAAGAGTTACGGATTGTTACACATGTTACCTGCCAACAATTGTGTAGCGCGAAACTACTATGGTAGGTTGTACGCGGATGCTAAGCATATTATTATGCTGTTTTTTGCTGACACTACACGTGATCTGACGTGGTGGGGTAGATACGTTATTGTCAGAATTATATTGTTATAACTGCATGTAGTTTTAGCTGTAGTGTAGTTATCATAATTTCCTGCTTAGTGGTGTACCCCCTTTCCTCCCCTATTTGTACTTCACTCTCTATAGTGAAACTCCTCTTTCTTGCTCCAATTCTCTCGATAGTCATGCCTAGCCTAAACCCTAGGATGGCTCCTAGTCTCACCTTCTAGCTACTATTCTGACATGGTATCAGAGCTGTTTCCATCCTTGAACCTTCCTGTCATTTTAAGAGATATGGACCCACACGCGCGCGGCCCGTTTTGCCCTGCGTCCCGTCCCGTCGCCCCCGCAGCGCCTGCCCGTCCCGTCCCGTCGCGCCAGTGGCGCTTGCCCGTCCCGTCGCGTCGCGCTCGAAGCCCCCGCCCGTCCCGTCCCGTCGCGCCTGCTGCACCTGCTCGCCCCGTCCCGTGCGCTGCCCCTTCGCCCCGCCGCTGGTCGTGAACTCCAGCGCCAGCGCCAGCGACGTGCGCGGGCGTACGTCGCTGGCGCCAGCACCTTCTATAGTGGGGGGGGGGGGGGGGTGAGTGGGTGGCGGGCTGTGGGAGGAGATGCAGTGAGGGGGTGATGAGCGAGATGCTGTCAAGCCAGCAGCCGCCCCTCCTCTCTCTCTCACTGTCAAACGTGCAGCTGTGGGGGGGAGGGTAAGAGAGAGTGGCGGACGAAGCAGCCACGCATATGCAACTGCCGCCCTCTGCTACCGTGACACCTCCTGCTGCAGCCCCTGTCGCCACCTTCGTTTGTCTCGTCTCTCTGCTGCTGTTGAGCGGCAGGTGCTGCCGTTGAGCCCTGCGTTGCCGCCACCCTTTCTCGCCGCACGCACCTGCTCTCGAGGCTACCTGCGCCACATGCACCTACTCTTGTCTGTTTCTCTCTTGCCTTATTGCTTACTGCAGCTGTATCTGCCACTACTGCACTGGTTGTCACTGCTCTTGCGTGCTGTTGCTTTGTTATGCTTGGTGTACCCCTGCAGGTTGTGTCTTGCATTTGGTTATTCCTGCATGCAGTTAAGGGGGGATGTCAGAATAATATTGTTATAACTGCATGTAGTTTTAGCTGTAGTGTAGTTATCCTAATTTACTGCTTGGTGGTGTACCCCCTTTCCTCCCCTATTTGTACTTCACTCTCTATAGTGAAACTCTCATTTCTTGCTCCAATTCCCTCGATAATCATATATAGCCTAAACCCTAGGATGGCTCCTAGTCTCACCCTCTAGCTACTATTCTGACAGTTATTTGGTCCGTTTGTCAAACATATGTTTATATGTTTAAGTTAGATAGGCTGTAGTGGGGTACTCACTGTGGGGTACAACCCCTTAGATTTTTCCTCTTGTACCAACACTCTCGATAGTTGAATCATCCATTGCCTAGCCTTTCGACATGGCATCTAGAGCGTAGGTCCTTAGGACCTAGGATTAGGGCCCACCTCACCTGCCTTGCCTACTGCCCGCGCGCGCCTCGGCTGCCCGCGCGCGGCCCCTTTTTTTTTTGCCGCGCATGCCTCTTACGCAGCTCGCGCGGCCCGTTTAGGCCCCGCCCGCGCGCCACTTCCGCTGCTCGCGCGGCCCGTTTAGGCCCCGCCCGCGCGCCACTTACGCCGCCCGAGCGCAGCCCGTTTAGGCCACGCCCGAGCAGCCCGCCGCCGCACGCCGCCCGCAGTCGCGCGAGGCCCGTCGCCACGCGCAGCCACGCAGTCGCGCGCAGCCCGTCGCCACGCGCAGCCAGGAGCCGCGCGCAGCTCGTCGCCACGCGCGCTGCCCGCAGCCACGCGCGCAGCCTGCAGCTTAGCGCAGCAAGCCGCCTGCTGCTGCTGCCTGCCTGCCTGCTGCTTGCTGCCTGCTGCCTGCCTGCTGCTGCTGCCTGCTGCTGCCTGCTGCTGCCTGCTGCCTGCTGCTGCTGCCTGCTGCCTGCTGCTGCCTGCTGCAGCCGCTCTTGCCTGCCACCTGCCTGCAGCCTGCCTGCTGCCTGCCTGCTGCTTGCTGCCTGCTGCCTGCCTGCTGCTGCTGCCTGCTGCTGCCTGCTGCCTGCTGCTGCTGCCTGCTGCCTGCTGCTGCCTGCTGCAGCCGCTCCTGCCTGCCACCTGCCTGTAGCCTGCCTGCTGCCTGCCTGCTGCCTGCCTGCTGCTTGCTGCCTGCTGCAGCCTGCCTGCCGCCTGCCTGCAGCCTGCCTGCTGCCTGCCTGCTGCCTGCCTGCTGCTTGCTGCCTGCTGCCTGCCTGCTGCAGCCTGCCTGCCACCTGCCTGCTGCCTGCCTGCTGCCTGCCTGCTACTTACTGCCTGCTGCCGCCTGCCTGCTTGCTGCCTGCTACCGCCTGCCTGCCACCTGCCTCCTACCTGGTGCCTGCTGCCTCTGTCTGCTGCCTGCTGCCTGCTGCCTCCTGCCTTAAGCCAATATGGCGACGCCCAACGTTCTCGCATTCGAGCCTGACGGTCGTCCCCTCGAGTTCGCTGTGTGGTTAGACGATCTCCAGCTGTTCCTTCTGACTGATGCCAAAGAGGGCGTTTCCCTGTTTGATTACGTCTCTGGCACGGCCGTTACTCCTGCTGCTGATGCTCCTGCTCTAGAACGCTCCCAGTGGCAGACTCGTGATGCTGCTGCACGCCTAGCTATTAGGAACCACCTGCCGATTACTGAGCGAGCGCACTTCAGCCAGCACAGAACTGCTAAGACACTGTACGACGCTGTAGTTGCGCGCTACTCCTCCCCGGCCACTGCAGCCATAGGTCGACTCATGCTACCGTACCTGTTCCCCGATCTTTCCTCGTTCACCACTGCTGAGGACCTAGTTTCTCACCTACGTGCTACTGACTCTCGCTTTCGTGCCGCTCTTTCAGCCGAGTTCTGCGCCGCAAACCCCCCCCCCGATGTACTTCACTCTCTATTTCCTCGTCACCCGCCTCCCTGACACTCTTAGCTCTGTCAGGGACCACTTCCTAGCGCTAGACCCCACCACTCTCACTGTCGACGACTTCGAGAAGCACCTCCTCGCAGCAGAGAAGAACATCCTCGCTGTAGGTGCTGCTCGTGGCACTCCCCGCTCTCCCCTCTTTGAGGGGTGCTCCCCCTCCCCTCTCACCCCCTCCTACGCATCCGCAGCTGCTGCTCACGACTACCTTGGTGCTGAGGAGGTCGGAGCTGCTTCCGCTCCTAGAGGGAAGCGTCGCAGCGGCAGGGGTGGCAAGGGCGGTGAGGGTGGCGGTGGGGGTGGCGGTGGTGCAGGTGGCGAGGAAGGTGGAGGTGGTGGGGGTGGTAGTGGGGGTGGAGGTGGTGGAGGTGGTGGTGGGGGCGGCAGAGGCACTGTGAGCGGTGCAAGGGGGAGCAGCGGCGGTGGGGGAGGAGGGAGCGGTGGTGGCAGTGGTGGTCAGGGCCAGCAGCAGCCGCAGCAGCAGCAGCAGCACCAGCAGCAGCAGCGTCAGCGCCAGACCCCCACTTCCCAGCAGCTTCTTGATTGGTATGCCAGGCGTGGGGTTTCTGGGGGTCCTGGTCGCTGCCCCTATATTATCCGCACTGGTCCCCGCACTGGTCGCCAGTGCACAGGTTTTCACACTGAGCAGCGCTGCTTCGCTCGACTTAGCGACGCCTGGCGTGCCAAGTTTCCTGATGCTCCTGAGTTCCCCAACTGGGCAGACTTGCTTAGGCGTGATGTCCCTATCTTTGATCTTGACTATGAGGCAATTCTTGCTGCTATGTATGCATTGTCTGTTAGTGCTGAGGGTGACTGCTACTTGTGTGTGCCGCCGGCTCCTTGTATAGTCCCTGGTATAGCCCCTGCAGCACTTGGTGCTTGTGAGTCTGCTCCCCCTGGTACTGCGCCTGCACAGGCCTTGCACACCTTTACACTTGACTCTGGTGCTTCCCGCTGTTTCTTTCGCGACAGTACCACAGTCACTCCCCTCCCTGCACCTGTTCCTGTCTCACTGGCTGACCCCTCTGGGGGCCCAGTGCTTGCACGGTCTTCCACTGTGCTTCCGTGTCCGGCGGTCCCGTCTGGTGAGCTGTCTGGTCTCCACCTCCCCTCGTTCTCTACGAACTTGGTGAGTAACGCTGTCCTCCAGGATGCGGGGGTTGACACCTTCACCCCTGGCCGGCAGCGTGTGGCGATTTGCACGTGCTCCCAGACTGGTCGCCACCTGGCCACGTTCACTCGTGCGCCAGGATCCAGTCTGTACACCCTCACCACTGCGTCGCGCTCCGCCCCTTTGTCTCCCCAGTTGCACGCTTCTGCTCAGGTTGCTACACAGTGTGAGTGTCGCCGGCTGTCGCACGACACTCTCCTGTGGCACCACCGCCTTGGTCACCCCTCCCTGCCTCGCCTTCGTAGCAAGCATTCTCGCTTCCTTGTTTCTGGTCTTCCCAGGTCTCTGCCTCCCCTCCCTCCCTCGCCTGCGCCGCCCTGCATTCCTTGCGTCGAGGGGCGGCAGCGCGCCGCTCCTCACTCCTCCTCGTTCCCTCCCACAGAGGCTCCACTGTAGACTCTCCACCTGGACGTGTGGGGCCCAGCCCGCGTCCGTGGACCGGGCCACGAGCGGTACTTCCTGCTGGTTGTCGACGACTACACGCGTTACACCACGGTCTTCCCCTTGCCGCGCAAGGGGGATGTCCCTGCTGTTCTGATCCCCTGGATCCGCGCTACTCGTCTCCAGCTCCGCGAGCGGTTCCAGACGGACTTTCCTGTCCTGC